AACTCGTTACATATTCTTATCACTTTACTACTAGCGTGAAGTCTACATTGCTACGATGAGTTGCTATGGAAGTCTATTTTTAGAACAAAGGTTGTGTACAATATTCACTTGTGTACAATATTAAGTTGTCTACAATATTCGTCTCTCTTATGGGACGATAATAATATGATTCGATATAAAGTAAAACTAATTAATTTTCCAAAACTAGATTTGTAAAAATAAATTTCAATTAAAAACCTATGTTAAGCATAAAAAATTAAAATTACACTTTATATAATATATTTATTATAGTTGTAGTTCATTAATTATACAGTTCACTTTGTTTTTTGCACTGACACTTTGGCGTATTTAATAAATTGGTTAAACCGTAGACTGTAGAAATATCTTGCAATACTGCTTTATCGATGAGCTGGCCGCTTAACTGCAGCTAAGACAAAATCGAGTCTTGAAGCTCGACCAGACTCTCCAAGAAGATTGAGACGTTGGTGGTTATGCTTCTTTCTATAAGTCGAATCTCACAGTTTTCTTAACTGCGCGACCCGATCGTGTAAGCACAGGCTGTGGCGTATTAAGTGGATTCGTTGTTACAGCATTCGGTGATTCGATATTTAATGGCTCCGTGGTGTGACTATGGCATGGGACCGACATTTCGTCAGTTATTAAAAGATAAGCTGGTTTGAGTCGATCTAGTGACACAGTCAAGTGTTTGCCGTTGTAATCGATCTTAAAATACTTTGAGTGACGTGACATGACTTTAAAAGGCCCTTCATAAGGTGGAATCAATGATTTTCTAGTTTCGTTTCTTAAGAAGACGTGTGAACATGAACTTAAGTTGTTATGAATAAATATTTTATCGCTTTTGTTGTGAGAAGTTGATTCTGACGCACCTTGTAAGTTTGAAAGTGACTGGGCTAAATTACTTATGTATTCACGTGTATTTACCGGTGTTTTATAGTTTGTTATGAATAAATCACCTGGCAATCTAAGACTAGTTCCGTATAAAAATTGTGAGGGACTATAGCCTAGGTCTAATTTGATAGCTGTACGTAAGCCTAGTAGAACTAACGGTAATTGCTGTACCCATTGTGTGTTATCCATACATTTTGCCATGATAGCTGCTTTTAAAGTGCGATGTAGTCGTTCAATCATACCGTTCGCTTTTGGATTGTATGCGGTTGCGCGAACGCGTTCGATGCCGAGTCGTTTTAATAATTGTGTGTATAAGTCGGACTCGAATTGACGACCTTGATCTGAAGTTATCCGTTTTGGACAACCGAAACGAGCTATCCAGTTTTCTATTAAAACTTTAGCAACTGTTTCAGCTGTAATATCTTTTGTGGGTATTACTTCAGGCCACCTTGTTACTCTATCTATCATGGTAACGCAATATCTATAATCATCGGAATATGGTAAAACAGATGTGCCACAACATCATTAATATTTGTGTATGGAGGGTTAATTATTACCTTTTTATTTTAATATCAGTCCCCAGCATTAAGTATCAAGAACTGCAAATCTCCATACAAATTCCTAAAGCACCCTGCTTATCACTTAGATCACAAATTTTTGCAGTAGGTATAGGTATAAGTATCTAATAAATCAGTTTTCGGTGCCAGCACGTCGGCTCAGGATCCCGTGTCGCAAATTGACCCAAATACATACAGGAAGGGCAGGTGCCGTGGCTGTCATCATTTCACGCCTCATTAATTTTCTAATAATCAGCCCTGCTCCGTGTATTTTGGCAGATATTTATTTTTAAACGCTTTATGGATAGCGATTAGTAATGACCGGAAAAATATATTTACGGAAAAGTAAAGTAAAGTAAAGTGGGAACAGTAACAACCAGAACGGTTGTTAATGTTCCCACGATGGTAGGACGTTAAGGTTAAATATTCTGACAGTTCAAGCCTGCCTATTTCTGCTTCTTTTTGCCCCTGGTTTTCTTTTCCAAGTTTAAATTTTTGACCAAGATAGTTAGATCAGATCAGTATTTCCGAAGATTACCACTTACAAAGAAAGTTAGATACGTTATCTCTTTATAATATAAGTATAGGCAGACTTGTGTTATCTACTACATCCAACATCTCGAGCAAGGACAAGCCAGGGGAGGTCACAAAGTCGAAGTCCACTGAGTACAATGCATCCAGCCTTCAAGTAAGGCAGCATGTAAATAGCCGAGATCTCATGCGGGATCTAAATCGGAAAGTGCGCGGTCCTACAGGAAAGAAGATTGTCTCTAGAGTACACCTAATAGAACTCTGATATACAATTGATAGTATACTCACCAACTTATGTTCGCTCGAACAACCTCGGCATACCAGCCAGGCTCGAACCACAACCTACCGTACTGTCCACAATTAATACGATCTTCTGTGTGTAATTAGTACTTATATTTGCGGAAATTGTATTTGAAATTAATACATTTATGTGGTTCAAAATATTCTTAAGGGTTGCGGTGAAAAATAAAGAACACGAAAGCACATCAGATATTCTTTTAGTGGTGCACTCATAGGGATATCTATTGAAAAAGGCAGCTTCACCAGGAGAAGGGGTGACATAGTCGAGACCCAATAAACAAGTAGATTTTAATAAAAGTCATTGGCATTTTAGAAAATACGAATATTATTGATTGACCGGCTCAGTTCTTGGTCTCGAAAGAAAACATTTTGGTGTAGAACTTCTCGTCGCACAATAGCACACACCAAACAAACAATCTCGGAATTTGAGAAAGCCAGCTATAAATAACGTGTAATCTTGCGACACCCCAAAAGTTGTCTTAAAACTTACATATGGTACGGTGTACTTAACTATTAAAATCGTAGGTCAAGGTCACAAAAAAAGTTTCTCTGCACGTTTTTCCAAATATGTCGTTTCCAACGAGGTTTTCCCTATTTGTACTAGCTTTCCGACAGCAGATTATCCGCGTGGTCCTGTATTATATATAAAAGTCTTGAGTATAAATCACTTTGTATAGTGATAATCCGAATTAAATTTGCTTTGTGTAATTTAAAAGATCTCAAAAGCGACTGTATAGACTTGTATAGATATTTAGAGGACAATATTTCTTACAATTATTGTTTAAAAAAAAATTATACGTTAAATCGTTGTTGAGGTAGAGGATGAAGAGAGAACACGCGGTAAGAGCATTATTTAAAATCAACTGGTAGTACAAATCAAAAACACGTCATAAGTATAAGAAATAAATTAATACCTACATTGATTATTTTACTTAGACAAAATTTTACAATTACGGTTACGAACTACAGTAGCCATATTGTACCACATTTTAGCTAACCTTGGGACCTACAACAATTTACATATTATGGCTATTGAGTGAGATGGTCATCGAGGTTGTATCCATGACAACCAACAGCAAAACAAGTCGTGGACACACCAGCACCACTAGTCCAAAACTAATTAAAGTTCCAAGCAAATTTAATAGAGACATTCAACATTTTTGTTCTTTTTTTACCTTTCTATGTCGAATAGTTATCTGTGTCGCCATCTTTCAGGTCTCGGGTTCGATTCCCGAGCGGGTCGATGTAGAAAAAGGGTTTTTCTTTATTGTTTCGGAACTAGGTGTTGTTATCTCAGTTAGCCCATAATACTTAGGCTTTAGCTACTCATCTTGGAATCAGAGTTATGTATGTGATGATGTTGTTTAATATTTTATTAATTAAATGTAAAATTATTTATAACGAAATTAATTATACTTGTTGTTAAGCTGGTATCAAGGTGTTATAATATGTGAGTTTCCAGGTTCTATTCCCGGTTGGGTCAATGAACAAAATGAAGTTTTCAAAATGTATTGTCTCCGGTTTGGGTATATAAATGGCGTAGGCCTTTGGAGATGCGCTATGTGCGACACATTTGCTTATTAAATAAATCAAACAAGTAAAAAAGCATTATAACACTAACTGAGCACATCTAATATGGATAGCATTATTGTAACAATAAAAATAAACTAATTAGAAGTGCCAGAATTGTAGACATTATCATTTTGATTCTGTTAACACAAGAATCGAAGAAAAAATTAAATCTTATCTGATTTTACAGGATAATCAAATTGATTTCAAATTGAAAGCAGGTATTTAAAAAAGACCACAAGTCAGAGAACTGATAAAGACCCATTGAATCTATGAACTTGAAATGCATGGAGTTGGAGACTATTTCGGCGACCTTTTCTTTAGCAGATGTTTTAAAGACCTTCGTATCAGAAATTCTCGTACGCCAGTGTATAAGTGTCGCCAACTGTGAGGTTCCAAGTTCAACGTACAAAATTAACTTTTCTATATTGTCTCTGGGTATACCTTCGTTGTTTCAGACATTCTGTGCAGATGCTCCATAATAAGAGTGCTTTATACTAGCGGGGCTTTAACTATTTATCTTGAAATCTGACCAATGTATGTGATATTGTCTAATATTAATTTATTTTATTAAACAAAATCTTGGGAGTCATAAACCAAAAAACTATTTACAATGATTTAACAATATTTAGTCTAATTTGAACATAGAGCATTAAATTTAATATTGCTTACATTCTTATTTGGATTAATTTCCTGAAAACGTAGATTACTAATGAATGGCATTTAAGAATACTTTTAAAGTATTTTTTTTTTTAAATCAAAGTACACACTTCTGTACGTCAGGTTACCGCTGAATGTATAACTTATAACTCCAGATTAGTCCAAAGGTCCAAACAAGTGGACGAGGTCCTTTCTGTAATTGATTTAAAACTCCTTCAAAGCATTGAGGTTACAAATTTGACAGCTTTGTATAATCTGACATGCTGTTGCCTGTACTTTTTAATAACTTTTAACCTTATCTTTTTCTCATATTTTGTTATAGATTTAGAACTTTACCCTCAATTTTAAAACTTAAGTTAAGCATGTACGTTACTAGTATATGTGAATAACCTTTAAAAATGAGTGGAAAAAATCCTTTATGAAAAATATATAAGAGTTTCATGATCAAGATAACTAAAATATTGAATATTGCCAAATATGATGTGATCATGTGTGAATAAAACGATAGAAATTCATTATTAATAAAACTTTTTATTTTAAATAATAGTAGGAAGACCTATTTCCGCAAATAGGTAAGCATTAGGTTCGAAATAAGGTTCCAATTCCCATGAACTGATATAAACATCTATTAGTTTCTCATCTCTGCAATGTGCTACGTTTTCTGAAAAAAAAAAAATTACAATAACGTATAATTTTAAATTTTAAGTAAAGCAGAAATCTTTTTTAAATGTTTTAACTGCAATTTATTTTTATTAAACATACATGAAATTATTTTTATTACCTGTTACCACTTTCTTCAGTTCATACTCTTTTTGTATGGATGCTGATATGTTCCCAACTGTATCAGAAATTTTTTTGACTGTCCAAGTAAGTATGACCGGTTCGTCTGTTTGCTGCAACTTGGCTAACGCTTGCAACTGCCCATCAATTATCGTCACACCTGTTTATATAAATAATGTTTTTATTGCCATGAATAATTTATTTACCTCTGTAACTGAGTGGCTCGCACGCCGGTTTAAAGCTGTTGAAATCTCTGAGGTCCTATTTTCGATTCACAGGCAATTCCAAGGTTTCCCAGGGTAAATGTAGGAAATCAATCTGAGTCAATGTATGTGATGTTTTCTAATATCTATATTTATAATATCGATTCTATCAAGACTATAAATTTGTTTAAAACATCAATGATTAATAATAATATTTACTAGTTTTCTATATTTTCACGCGCACTAATATTAAATAATACAACTCATAACAGACACATACTGGTGTATATATGATCAATCATTTTAAGACGAATCAACATCTAGTCTAAGCGAATATGGAACCTGTAAATAATCCGAAATGTCTTAAAATTCTCAAATATAAACGCGTTTTTATCTGTTAAGTAGTTTTGTGTAATAGTAATATTTTAAACACAGGAACATAATAGTAAATAAAGTTCAAAATAGTTTTAAACAATTTAGTTATTTATTTAGACATGCTTCAGAATTTTTTGTCAGCCAATAATGGCCTTAATAGAATTGTAAAGGGAGAGTAGGCCCACCAACCATGTGGACCCTGTATTTTGGTGGTTGCTTTTATTACAGATAGAGACAGGACCAATGACTTGAAATATATTCGAAAGGATGTACAGCTGCACGTCTTGCTACACATCACCACCATAAACAGACCTCTGATGGTAGGAAATTTCTATACCAGGGGTCCCAAATGTATGTCGCCTACTACCCACTCTAAAAATAAAAAAAATTAGCGCCCCTATTTTATATAAGTTACATGGAGAAAAATATAGAACAGAGTTATTTTGAGCTATCTCTTAATTCATATTATTAGTTGATCTTCAAAACATGTAGTCGATAGTCGAAAGCAAGGTCAGTGTCGAAGAGTCCTTGTAGATGAAATTACAAATCGCCCACCTCTACACAACGCCCCCATTTTTCTAGTCTGACATACAGCTATGTGTACATTCGAACATTATAAACAGCTACTGTACCATTGAGCCCATATTAAAAGATGTATAATAATAATTTCTGCTAAAACATAACCTCACAGCACTAAACATAACAAGTAACAAAAGTGTGAAAAACAATTAGACCTGGATTTCCTCTGAAGAAAAGTACAAAAATGAAATAGATTATATCATTACAAATCAACCAAAAGCCTTTCATTACAAATCAACCAAAAGCCTTTCATTACAAATGAACCAAAAGCCTTTACCGACACAAATTTAATACTAAATTAAACTTCAACACCAATATTAAGAATATTAAGAAATAACCTAACCCTAGCCCACAATCAATTAAAAATTCATAAATCTGTTGAAACCAAAGCTTTGAATAAGCTCTATACTAGAGAAGTAACAATCAGTAGAGCAAAAGATGTAAACAAGCTATAAATATTCATAATATGGCTTCATTTTAAAATATGCTGAATTAGGGATTCTTATTCTTACCATTAACAATATCCTTCAAGCTTTCTAAAGCATCAACAAGACTTTCCATAATTGGTTTTAACTGGTGAGGAAAATAATCATCTTCACATTCAAACAACTTTAAACTAGATATAGCTCTACATAGTTTCACTCCCTTATCTTTTATTTTTCGCCAGTCATTCAATAATTCATGTAAACGGGACACATGAGTGAAAACTGTTTTCGACACTCCTGGGAAGTCCTTGTTTGGTGTTGACAACTCTAGAACATACAATTTAAAAAATATATATGAATGTCTTTAAAAACAGTCACCTGTAGAAAACTAAAACGTAATTAAGTAACCTACCTCTTGGGTTAAAGTGTGTGACTGCATCTGGTGTTTTTGACATTCTAAATATACCATAATTTTTTAATAAATTATCATGAAGTTATGTAACTGGATATTACAATTATTTTATACATTACTTTGAATACTCCAAATCTTCCATATTTATCTAAAACAGATACTCAATTTAGTTGTAGGTATTATCTTCCCCTTCATGTTTATGGACAGGGCACTCACATTTCAATGCACCAAAGCTAAAAATATTAGATATTAAACCAAATCGGTTTAATTCTGTAAAACAAAAACCAATAGGTACCAAAACACTGACACTTATGTGACTTACCTGTAACCTTAGATCATTTAATATCTATTTAATCTAAGCCTTATCTTATGGTTTTGACTTTGTTTAATGAAAACACTATGTAATTAATGGTTGTTAATACATTACACTACATAAACAAAATAAAACAAATAATGCAAGCACTTTTTTAGGTAAAGTTACAACAAAACGTCAATATATCGCAAGCAATTTCAAGCTTAAATTACAAGAAATAAGATTTAAAATCATTTAGGAAATATTTTTAGGTATGATTAACCAGACGGTTTTGTATAAATAAATACAAATATATTTAACCCATACAGCCTTATCTTAGGTTTTGCTACTTATAGTTAAGGTATCATGCGAATGACGATGATGTTCAAGTAATTTAGTCACCGCATAGTACTGATTGCTTAGAGTATACTGATAGTTATATGCCAGTTTCAAGGTGTCGCCGTCTCTGAGGCCCCGGTTTCGATTACTGGTAAGATCATTATTGTAGAAAAGGTAAATTAATTTGATTCTATTACTCCAAAAACATACTCTCCTTTTAAACGGATTTATAAAAGGATTTGAAACGTTTGAAAAAAAAAATTACAATACTTGACCTAATATCGCTACTATCGACAATATATTCATAAAAATTAAAACAGCAATATTCATCTATAATAAATTCTAAGTTTAACATAGAGTATATTATAATAATCATTACTTTATTTTTTAATTTGAAATTTTTATCTTTGGGCTTTAAGTATAAAGCAATACATCGTTGCTAAAAATATTTGCCTCTAATCGGATCAGAGAAATATAATTATAGGTTGAAAATAAAGATATTTTTCATTCTTCTTCTTCTTTTTTAATTCATGGCCTATTGGCATTTACACAATTCCGCCAATGTCACGTTTGTGGTCTTTACACGTATAGATATATTTTTCATTATATCTGCCTATTAGCAACACTTAACTGAGTCTTCTTAGGGACGCAACGATACCATCTACGTATCAATACTTTTACTCGACACCGTACCGCACATGAAGTATCAATCCCCACTCAGTATTGAATGAAAAGTATACAACGTGTCCCAAAATTCAACGATAAGCGGGCGCCAAGAGGTAGACCTGCTCATGTATACTTATGGAAAAATAAGAAAAAATAATGCTACTTAGGTATCCGATACCAAAAAAAGATTGAACATAATTGAGAAGTTGTGGTCGTGGTAGTTGAAAATATCATAAAAGGTGTAAATTTTCGAAGATTTTCGAATTTAATTTTATAATAAGAAAGATAAGATATAATTTTTTTCTTATTTTTCTATAAGTACACATGAGCAAGGGTACCTCTTGGCGCCCGCTTATCATTGAATTTTGGGACACGTTGTATATATATATATATATATATATATACATATATATGTATACATCGATTTTTAGAACAAGTTTGAGACTATTAACAGTCAATAGCAATACTCTGTGGAATAAAGAGAAGCAGGTACAGGCATAACAAGCGATGCATATAGATCACTTTGAAATTGTGTTGGCACGGTTTTTTCCAGGTAGATCTTTGACTAAATAAAATAAATAGGTGTCAGCAATGCTTATTGTCACAGGACAAGGGGGAATCTTTCATGAGACTCCTTACCAAAGAGTAAACAGTCGAGCACATGAGTTTTTTCCCACTTCACTACTAAACTTACTTTTAAAGCATCAATATTAAGTATTTTGGTATCGATACTTTAAACATAAAGAAAAGTATCGAGTACGTACTTGTATTTACTTATATCGGTCATCCCTAGTCATTCTTGGCCATCTGTCAGTGTCAACTTTGTTAGTGATGCTTCCTGTAGGTGTGGGTCAGACTACTGTGATCTTAACCACATATTGTTTTCTTGTACACTATACGATCGATCCGAATTCCTTAAAGATCTCATATCCTTACGTGTTTCCTTTCCCACATCCATAGTTTCTTTGCTATCGTCTAATAACATATCAGTATATCAATGCATAACGTCTTTTATAATGTCAAATAATATTAGTCTAAATATCGTTATTACTTTTTATCTATGTTATATAACGTATATATTCTATATATATTAATATTTTCGTTTCCTGATCCTATTGCTAAAATCCTGTCGCAAATCCTTTCCTTTTTACTACCATCGTTTCCCTACCTTTGACACTGGCAAATACACAAACCGTGTGACGCCAAAAGAAAAAAAATAAAAATAAAATACTACTGCTACATCTGTCAGTGTCATAATTTTGGCATGGTAGGGTTATGTTAGTTCAAATAAAAATATATTATTCTACGTATTCGACACTGTCTGTTTTAGCAAATGCTAAACAATTTGAAACTTCTAGTGAACACAAGTTAATTAGAAATCGTATCCTGCCATGTCTGGACCTATTCAGGATGTCGTTGAAGAAGACGCGGCAGATCTGCAGTTTCCCAAAGGTAATGTAATAGGCGGTATAGACTCACACTGAGAAGTCTTCAATATAAGGAACGAGAAGGCGAGAAACATATCTCAGTCACGAATCTCGGGGCTTTTCGGTGTGAGTCTGGCTGGCCTATAATTTTTTTAACTTTATGGATAAACAAATTGAATGAATAGTTTCTTAGACCACTGCTATAGAATACTGCTATTTTTAAACAAAACTGTTTATTATAAATTTCCTAAATATTATCTGTTTTTTGTACATTTGCATACTTAATGTAATAAAACTTTGTGATTCAGAATTTGAAAATGCTGAAACCCTACTGATATCCGAGGTTGACATGTTATTGGAACATAGAAAGGCTCAAAATGAATCTGCTGAAGAAGAACAAGAGTTTTCTGAAGTATTTATGAAGACACTAACTTATACAAACATGTTCAAAAAGTTCAAAAATAAAGAGACAATAGCTGCTGTCCGGAAGTGAGTGTATCTTGATTGAATTATATTTATTTATGCCAGTTTGAATTCTTTTTTAGTAATTCTGTATTCATACATTTTTAGCCACAAAATATTCATTTGGAAAACACTATAAATTACTATGTATTTTTATTACAGCTTACTACAATCTAAAAAGCTACACAAATTTGAAGTAGCTAGTTTAGCAAATTTATGCCCAGAAACTCCAGAGGAAGCTAAAGCTTTGATACCGTCACTAGAAGGAAGATTTGAAGATGAAGAACTTCGTATTTTATTAGATGATATACAGACAAAAAGAAGTTTGCAGTATTGACATATTATTATCATTAATTTATACAAAATTTAAGACTGAAAATATCATAAAGATATCTCATGAAATATGTATATTATTTATCAAGAATGGCCTATTATCAATTAAACATTAAACATACCAAATAAAAAATCAATTAAAATTGAGGCATTGATCATTCCAGCAATACTAAATCTTTAGATATAGTATTAATTGACTTGGTCAGTTGCACATTCATTAAGGTTTAATGATGACTTTAAGCTCTAAATATCGCTTTAAACTAATAACTATTTTAATGTATGTTTGTACAACTGACTGTTAGTAATCTGTAGTTATAGTAAATTTCAAGGATCCATATAGTCATTTAATCCTCAATTTTCTATCTGAAACAAAGCAGTTTCATACTATGGTTATTAAAAGGTATAAAATTTAGTCCAACACTGCAAAAAATTAACTGCATATTGAAACTGCATAAGAAAATCAGTTATTCATGTAAAATAATCACCACTTGTCATACTACAGGAGGCCCCCACATAACTGAATGGGCTATGATTTGGTTGAATTTAAATGCACTTAACATGAATATAGAGTGCACATTTGTATTAATTCTATGTATTGGATATACACACTATCTCTCAATATTAATTGTATTAAATGTTGAGTGCATTGAGTCCACTATAGACAAAGTCCTTAGGACTCTTGATTATAGCAAAAATGCTTGAACAAGATAAGCAAAAAAGTTGGTATTTATGCATGTAGATTACAATTAATTTTCAAGGCATTAAAAAAAAAACCTTTTCATTAAATCAGTCTGTATATTGGATATGTCTGCAATACAGCAAGATACATTACAGTGAAAACAGATAAGTGATAAAATATTGGAAACAAAAATAGTAATTAGAATTTCTTCTCTGAAACAAAACTATAATAAAACCATTCTTATCATTACTTAAATGTAGATATTATTAATATAATGATGTTAATTAATGCCTCTAACTAAACAAGCCTTTTGTTGAACATAGCATGTAAAAAAATTAAATGATATTTTTTTTATCAATAAACCTCAACAATTTTAGATAACTAAACTCAACAATGTTCGATAATTTCCTTATTTTCTAATTTTGTTGCCTAAACATTACTCATAACAATGTGTTGAACAAAAGACTTGTTTAAATAATAAACTTATCTCAATGGGCACTTTTGGTTTAGTTTAATGTTAGTATTTAATCTAATATTGTAATAATAAAAATTACAAACTTATTTTTTCACCTAAAAGAAAACTTTAAAATAATATTTACCATCTATAAAAGAACTATCAAATCTAAATTCTTAACCAAGTTACTTTTATGGTACACATTGCATGTTTCCTAGGCTGAACATTATAAAAATATCTTTATGTACTTAAAGTCATTTGTGATTCCTGTACAAAGACGTATGTAACATACATATCTTTAATAGGAATCACACACCACATTTTGCAGTTATCTTTAAATTAACAGGGACCCTTTAATAATAACACATGTTTAAATAATAGTTAGTATTTTTCAGGATGATCACAAAAAATTACTAACTAATCATGAAACAATTTATTGGGAAAAGCTTACGTAAACCCTAAATTACAACTTGGACCTGTGACATAAGTCTAAAGTATTGGTTTTAATAAGTAAAGAATGAGTCGTTTGTATTGTGGGAGGAATCTAAAAGCCACTTGAAAGCTGATACAGGAAGCAAGCCAAACACAACCACAAAGCTTAACCCCATACAAATATTAGTCAACATTGCAACTGAAAATGCGTTTAATGTGTATAAGTACATTTTTTACAACAGAACTGGGAATAGAACAGTTTCGCATCTAGTACATTATAATATTACACCTAGATATTGCACTTATTCCAGATACTTACAGACATTCGGATTTTTAAATACTGGCTCGGTTTACCTCCACTGTTAATAATATTTAATACATAATTATGCACTGCAAGAGTATGATTTGATGTTGTAGTTGAAGGAATAATTTAATTTACACATTAGGGGTCGTTCATTAATCATGTGAAGATCGAATGAGGGAGGGGGTTGGTAAAAATCACGAAATATCACAAGGACGGAGGGGATGTGTAGAAATATATCACGTGTATTTATTTTGTCCTCTAAGGCGCGATTACCGAACCGACAAGCGGCGTCAAAAATTATGATTCTTTGTAGGTACTAAAAATACACGTTATTCGGGTGGATTTTAGTCTTAAACCTCACTATGCATCACGGGAGGGGGGGGGGGTTTAAAAATGCTGAAAAAATCAACACGAGATTAATGGACGACCCATTATCAAAATAATTGATTGCATTTATAATTACTGGGCTATGTTTCGCCAAACACTTGGTAGTTTCTTCACTTCGCCACTAAAACGTCCAAAGTAGCAAGAACATCTTTTGTCACAAGTCGTTTTACTATACAGACCTAATAGGCTAGTCAGCACCGTCGGTAACACTTCACAACTCAATGATACTGCTTTATGCTTGGTGACCGTTACAATAAACGTTACGAGTCCAGGCGTGCTCATCCAGCGTTCGTATCATCAGTACAGCAAGTTGTCAAGTAATAGTCAACATTCAAATTCAAACGTTTTCACTTTCATATCACATTATTTTACTGAATAATCAATAGATATACATAAGCAACTGGAAATATTAATAACAAAGTTTCACCAATTCGGTATGCATCATAAGTGTGGCTCTTGATAATATAATTTCGATTTGAGCAATGACAAGTTTTAATAATCCAAAGGTGAGCCATCCAAAATATATACACATTTGCCAAAGTTACTCTTACAAAATTGTCAAAAATAATTGATTATGTCCAAAAGCAGCTCTATCTATGTTTATGTAATCAAGATTCTACATTATCAGTCTCGATGTACAAAATGCATTTTGGCCAAAACGAGAGATCCAACTGGCATGGTCCATTTTATAACCACATGTTATGAATACAGCAGTACCCATAACACTCGATACAGGTACTGTGACATCCAAATAATTTTATTACAATCATATTGAAATTATTACCTTAAATTGAAACGAATGAAAAGTGAAACACCAAAGCCTTAGATAAAATAAAGAGTACAAACAACAGGCACTTTATAGACTAATCACCATACATTGCCAAGTTACCTGTATCAAAGTATGAGTATAGTTTTAAATTTTCAGTCTATTTTGTAATATTCTCTTTTATCAAATTTAAAGCTCTCTCACATTAGAAAATGTGTTTTTTAGACATTCATTTTATCATTGATCACAATTTAAACTAAGAGTTCTTACCGTTTGACAAACGATTTTCCACTTTATTGTGAAATGTATTAGCTTCCGCTTCGTTCCGTATAGTTTTTTTTTTTTATTATTGGCGTTTCCGTTTTGGATTTCGCTAAAATCCAATGATTCGCTCGGTTATTTGTGAAGTAACTAAAATAATTTGTCAAACGATAAAGACCCTCCCTTCTCCCCTTTGTTTACTTTTGAGATATTTGGTCTAAGTTAATTTGTTCAACATTTACAAAAATAAACAGACATTAAACAAAAATAAGGTTGAATTACCAAATAGTTATGCTAGTCAAAGATATATAAATGCTGTATAAAATAATGTTATGTACATAATTAATACATAAAATGAGATCAAATATATATTCAAGTCATATATGATGAGGGTATGAAAGACAACAAAAATGTAACTAATATAATTACAAAAAAAAAAGAATCCATTTATTAAAACAGCTTATTTATACATCTTCAGAACACTTTATCAAATGATTTGGTTATAATTTAAAGTGCATTTGAATTGCTTTGGTTGTTTTCTATATTACCTTGCATTATCAAAAATCAATCTTGTTGTTTCTTACTCACACGTATTTAGAAATTGACACCCATTTTAATACCCAGTATAGTATCAAAGACATTTCGATTACAAAAAAATAATTAATTATTGTCAGAATATGAAGAATGACCAGATTTGACCCAAACTTGATAAGACTATTACGTAATTTTACGTATCGAATAAACTTTTATTAATCCGAACAAAAATAATATAATTTTTTTAGCTGATCGAAATGAACCTTTGTCGATTTGGAACAATAAAGCTGTAAAAAATTAAAGATCATAAAGAAATAATTAAATGAAACCGACATATGCCTTAACATTTATCGTTTAAATATTAAAGAATATGAATATTTAAACTATCATTCATATTAATTTCAATAATTCAGTGATCAACATACATGCTACTTTTAGAAAGCATAAATTGTTATGTAAAATAAACTGAATGTTGTTACTAGTTTGAATATAAGATAAAAACGACAATGCCTGCATTTTCACTCGTATATAAATGGAAAATATTTACATAACAATATTAGAAAATTAAAATAAAACATTCCCACATATCTATATTTGACACGTCAGTGGAACTTTTATTTGAAATAAAAATTCATACATAATTATATGTATCTATCTTCAACATTGAGGTTGGTTTAAAAATTAATATACATATTGTATATGTACTTATAATGTCAGAGTTTACTATGTAATACTAATATTTTAATAAAATATTTTTTTTTTTACATTATAAAAATAATTGTACGTAAAACCGCGCTGCAGCCACATCATATACGGAAAAATTTACTTACACATCTCCCTATTTCAGTAGTATAGGTAAATTTATATTCACCATTCAAAGAAATTTAAAGATCTCGCGCAAATCTGGTCACCTTCCTTATAGACGTCCACCCCAGCCACTTTAAGCAACTTTCTAACATTTAAAATTACCGCACTCGAACGTATGAAACACCTGCGATTTCAATTAGGTATTTAATATGAGATTTAGTAAATTTACTATTACAGTAAATCAACTATACACTTCTATTTTTATTGCGTATCTGTAGTCCGTTCCGACACACAAACCTATATGGAAATACTGAACGTATGATGGCCCGATACCTTGGAGCGATCAGTGAGTGTCGTGCGGAGAGTGAGAGTGCGGAGAGTGTGGGGCGGGGTTGAGCGGTTGGAAAGCGGAGCCGAGCGAGGGCCGCAGCGTGAACCCCGCCACGGCCGGCTTTATCACTGACACCTCGGGGTGACCACCCTCGCCCGCTCTCAAGTTCACCTGTTAACGCAATCCTCATATAACAGTGATAAGTACTTTCTATTGTGGCTGGTTTATACGTAATGAGGAAGTATTTAAAAAAAATAGTTCCTGAAATCTAACTAGATGTCACCACGATACGTTCTTGATTTCTCCATGACAACCTTTCCGGTTTTCTTTCATGTTTAAAAGTAAATTAGTTTTCAAAACTCAATAAACAAACTCATATTCTATTTGTACTTTTTCGTATTTGTAATGATATAACTTTTCAAATTTCAGGATTTTTTATATGTTAGTTAATAGGAACGGTAATGACTGGCTTAGGTCTATTCGTTTCCTGTAAAAATCAACTTTTGCTAGAGTCGCCATCTCGTGGAAGTGCTCTTTTAGTACTTCCTCATCAACTAGACAAGTAGTAGGATATATTCTAATTTGAAACGTTATGTCTTAATATTATACACCTTAAAAATTAATGACTTTTGGTGTAAGAATCATATTTCTATAATCAATAATAAGAAAGTTGTGACAAATAAAAATTTTAGTTTTTTTGCCTCTCTTACGCCCTTTGAATCATATTTTACTGTGGAATGATATTTTTAGTGTCTTATTTTACTGAGGAATGATATCTATAATCAAATACTAAAAGCTATATCATACGCGGGTGACACAGGTTATAATTTACGCAATTGAAGTCGTGAGAAAACAGCTAGTTTTAAATAAAAAAAGAAATTTTTGGAATAATCCTCTCCACACACTTACTTTTTCACAACCATCCGGTGGTTCTCGAGCTAAAAAGCGGTTTATTTGTGGCGACGTCCCAAGTTTAGAACCATCCAGGTCTGGTGACGAACAAACACTGCCGCCTGTAACGCCCCAAGTGTTTTATTACAAAGACACCAGTAAAAGTATCAATACTAATAATTAAAAGCTTAATTTATCAACTCCAACATTCTCTAAAAACGAAAAAAAACTACTGAAAAAAAAAATCAATTCGGCTTTATCAACATCTCTATTTATACTTCTATCAGTAAAGCTTTGGATTTCTGCTCATGCTAGGGACGATAAGGCGTTAGTCTTGTGCATGATACTTAATCTATGGCTTGTTGCAGGGTGTAACTAATTAAAACTATTTGTTTTTTATTGTATATAGACCTGCAGCCAGGAGTTCCGCGGAGCCACCACTGGAAAGGGATCCTCGCGAAGGTGGATCTATATCCACAAATTCATGTTTGGCAGTGGAAATAATAAAATGTCTCATGACTAATGTCTAATAGCATACCTATTGTGTAAAACGGGCAAATTGCATTGCATTCAATAATATGATGCCTATGTTATGACTAGAGCATTGAAAACGGACCAAAATACGAGTTAGACTTGCGCATGAAGAGTTCCGTACCATTATCTATAAAAAACGCGAAGACACGTTTACTGTATAGGCCTTAAATATTTTTTTTTTTTTGTGTATAGTATTTGTTATAACGGCAACAGAAATACATAATCTCTAAAAATTTAATTCTAATTAAACAAGGACAGACGGACGGACAGCAGTCTTAGTAGTAAGGACCCGTTTTTATTCTTTGAGTGTGGAACCATAAAAATACATGGTTCATGGTTTAACTGTTAATATTACTTTAGTACACCGACGCATTCGTATGTGGCAACGAAAAAACAAACAAAATAGAAATATTTGTTAGTTTGTATTCCTTGCTAAATATAATAATAAGAAAAATTTAAATCCTGATCGGAAGTTTAAAAAAATATTTCGGCTGTTTGAATGGATTGCCTAAATATTAATGAAAATACGTTCACTAGTTCGTTAAAAGTCGTTGGTTCGAGTCCCATCTCAATATGCCTGGGAATGGTAGATTTTTCAAGATTTTTTTCACTAAAAACATTGTCCAGGATAGCATTGTTAATGCAAAATTGGTCAACTATAAAACATGTAGTATTTTTTTTATATAAACGTCATTCACAGAGTAGTGAGAAAAATCAAAGTAATAGTGAGCGGAGCAAGAGTGATATATTTTCTAAATATATAATTAGAATTTAAAGACAAAATGTTCCAAAAAGTTGGTTTGTTTACTACATTTTGTTTACAAACTCTGTGAAGATATAAGCTGCCATCTTCACCAAGTTTTGCATTTTCCTATATTAACAGTAGTACAAAGAATACAGCAGGAACCTTACGAATGTAATTTTTGAATATATTAAAAAAATAGACATACCCGATGAATGAGCTGTATGACAGAGATCGTGTGGTGTTTGAGTGTTAACAGAACGCCTGAAAAGCTCAGCTAGTGGAGCGCGGTGCCCTTCTGGTGTTACCTGCAATATTAGGTACAATAGTATATTCTTATACGATATACACTATGTTTCAACTAATGTGGCGTATGGTGGTGTTCGTCAAGATAGCAGGCACACCAATGAATTTGAGGATCTTATGTTTGTCAGTAAATTGTAACTAAATATTGAGAAATAGTGACAGCATATAAAAGTGACACTGTAAGTTAAGAGATATTGGAATATCTTAGTGTGCTTGCTACCTATATGTTTGAATTACATGTCAAAAAATTGTGAATAAATAGTGCTACTATACTACGAACTTTCATTTCACTCACTTCAATAGAATTAGAGATATTCTGATTATCGATGTGCCTGCTAAAATGACCCTTACAGAAACGACAATACACAGAGTTGCTGTTTTTTCTGGACATGTTCTGATTTTCAGTGTCCTGTGATGACCATAGACGGTATTTAAACAGCATCTCAGTTTTTAAAGTACCATGAAAATTATTTTAAAATACGCGCTATCCTTTTGTAATCCTTACGTTCACGAGTGTTCGCGCTGACTTTCGTGCTACTATAAAAATATGATTATTATTACTAAAAGAATTTTATTTAACCTATTCTCATTACATATTAATTGAACTAGTTACATTAAACTGGATTGTCTTAGTTTTTACTTCAAATCCTAGTTTTTGAGGGATTGGCAACCCTATCTAAACAACAATCACTCGATCATAAGTAGAATGCAATAATAGCCTAAATGTTTTAATGCATTTAGCTACACTAAATACTAGAGTACAGTACCTTATCTCTTAACCGATCAAGATGAGGAGTTTGTGTTCCACTTGCTGGGTATAAAACAAGTCTCTCAATCTCTTGATTGAGACCTTCTACTGAAGACCTTGCTGCTCTGAGCGGCACACTACCGCTGCCGAAACGAGACCCTGTCAAGACAATAAGATACGAATAATTATATACATTCCATTGCTAAAATAAGACTGTAATGTATAAGAAATTTGTTAGATTGTTACGTATTAATAGGGATGCTGACTGGGTCAACAAAATATATTTAGTTCATCCGCAAGATAATGGGAAAATATTGGATACATATTTTTTTTTATCTTGAATTTAACAAGAGATGGTAGGCATTAAAGTTGAGGAGTAGAGGGACTTGCTACGTCACAACTATGTAGAATATGTACAATAGGCGTGACGTCATGCGACATTTCAACTCAATGTATCGCCGTAACTTATTGATTACAGAAAAATAAAAAATACGTGTTTAATATTCTATAATAACCTACCTCACGGACAGAAAAAAAGTAGTCACTATCCCTTTTTATAAGGCGTTTTAATGCAATTTTCTGTCACCAGGTTGCAGCACTAGCCCATGTTGTAGACAGTTTTTTTATAAACATCAAACAGAGTAGTGAGCAAATTAATAGTGAGCATAGGATTATAATATATTTTTGCTTTAAATTTAATAAGAAGTGAATCATTCATATCCGAAAGACTGTTGGATTATAATATTTCCTATTAAGAAAAGCTAGTCTGTTGCCCTTATATAGTTTCCTTATGTATCTATTAATCCATTATTAAAATTTATGAATAAAGCAATAAAGACTCCTAATGATATGAATATGTAGCAGGCATGTAGATGATTAAAAGTAAAACGCGTCCAAGGCGAATAGTAAGCAAAAATGCAAATTTATCTAGAGCAAAGTGTGAAACGTGGAACCAGGGCTCAAAAAAATATATTTCGGAAAAGCAATAATGTATGTAATTTACTGTAGAAAAACATCGCATAGAGAACTTAGTTTTGTTTTAGTCTACAAGTTTGAGGATTTCTTAGAGGTGTTGGAAACTAATGTAACACCATTTCACACAAAATAGAGAGTAATGTCAGCTTTCACTTAATTTAGGAGTTGCCGAAATTGGTCACAAATGTGTCAAGGCAGAAAAGAAAAAATGTTTATTCAGAATTATTGGCGATTCGTAAGATTTGGCATTTCCTAGTTAAACACCTTATTCTAGGGTAGTGGAAATGGATGTGGGTGTCGGGATATAGTTACTGTAAAACAAAACAGTTGGGTTATATTAAAAAGAATATTAACTGCTAAGAAGTAACTAACATGACAGTGTTTTAATGTAATGAAATTTTTACACTGATACTTACAAAAACCAGGGCTCATTGCATGACCTGAATCGCCTGATGCAGATGGTTTATGTGGCCTTTGAAGACGACTCCTTAAGAAGCGATCTAGCTTATCGTCATCAGAACCTCGAGATGAACGACCAGAAGCTCCGCCTCCTTCATCTGTCTAAATAATATAAATAAAATGTTAAAAGATATATAAGACAAAAGTTACACATAATCTTCCAATTAATTTATAACATGAGAAACTTTGAGAAATATCATGTTCTATCATTTGGCTTAAATATGAAATGAATATGATAATAAATATAAAAATTACTAGATTGAAGTTATATAGTTTGTAAAATATAAGTTGCATTATTTCAATTAAAAAATGTGTACCTGAGTAGATTTGTCTACTTGTAGCTGGCCGGCATGTAAATAGTAGTCTCTGGACCACTGACCTTTATGGTACAATGTGTCAAGGGATGCCGTGCGCCTTATAACACTAGAGCCAAAACGTCCCTTGCCTAAAAACACAATTTTATATATTTTAATATTTATTCTTTTAAGCCTTTATATAGCTTTTGTAACATAGCATTTGACTAGGTATCAGTATAAAACTTGGTCAGTCAGTAGTAATGAATAATGATTTCTGGAGACATTTTTTTCTTTGTATTTTTTTGAATTATTTTCATTTCAAGCTTTTTTGCTTTCTTCATTTGCTTTCTATTTGGTACATTCTGTTTAAAGGTTACCAGGGCCTGATTGTCTGATTTTAAAATCTATAACAATCCCTTTCAATTTGACTTTTGAAAGATAAGTTTAGTCATTGAATATAAACAATTATTAATTAATATATATACACCACAAAGAAAATTTAGAGATTATAGCCCTGTTGATTATTGTATACAACAAAAGGAAATAGTGCATATAACCCAGACCTATTTAAGGCAAGAGTGAATAGGTTCCGTCTGAACAAACTCGTCCCACCATAGATCTCATCTATGCCCTTAGGCTAGATTGAGGTCACAGGAGTGAGCCTATTGTTAATAAATAAAAATAAAAAATGTAACAGCAAAGATAACAATTAACAATAAATGTATACTATTGATGATAATATCAAGTGTTTGACCTTGACAAATAAGAAGATCAAATGTTATAATAAATTACATGAATATAGTATCATAACATTTATTTCGTTAATTTATATCATAGCTCTATGACATGACTTAATTAAATATTTATACAAAAATAAACAATCAAAGTGACACACCTTTATAATTGACTGCTCCAGGGCTTCTCTGCCCTGAGAGGGCGTGATCTGGCGATATCCGTCGCCATGCGTTGGTTGGAGACAAAGTCGGGCTGTTACCGGCATTCCTCTTGAAACCACCACTTTGCTTCATCACTGATGATACCGGTAGAGTGGCTCTCATTGGCCCTTGTTTTCCAACTGGACAGTCGGACTGCTTTCGAACACGACCCGACATGTTTTCCTCCGTTTATAAACTATTTGATAAGCACACTAACACTGACAAAAGTCAAATTTTATCATCACAAAACTAAAAAATAATCAATCCTGGATACCGACGCCGTATTTTCTTTGTAGAAACAACGAAATTTTAGGCCCGATAAACAATGACCAAAAATAAAATATAGATTTAAATAATATTCGGATGTTTAGTGCCTGGTTGATAAATCACAATTAATATAAGGTTACAATAAATGTTCATTTATTACATTAAAACAGAATTATGAAGCGTACAAGTCACATTTTTAACTACACAATGGATGAATGATGAAGCTGACAGATGACAAGAACATCGCGCCATTCCATTTTTTGGTTGGTTAAATCCAACAACAAACACTAATATGGACAGCAATTTAATTGCTTAATCGCAATAATTGCTAAATTTTTTGATAAATAACAAAATGACTATTGAAAGAAATTAATAATCTATTATTCGTTGGCATTGCAATTAACAGCTGATTACTCCGCCATGACAGTAGGGATGTGTATGTTGAGACTAAACTAAGAATCGATTAATAAAAAAAATGGAATTGGAAATTGATATGTAGTACTAATTCGATTAATTAATTGATTTTCACCCTTGCAAATTGTCTAAAATTTTGTTCTATTTTACAAAAACTACTTACAATTAAGCACGCCATTAACTGGAGCTTTATCACCCGTGGTGTGCGGGCTGTGTCTCACGTGACACGACGCTTGATCTTTTGCTCATATCTTTGCACTGGAATAACTTTACCTTGTATTATTTGTCTATACGTTGGCTGAGTTTAATTATAGCCAATAGGTAATACAAACACTTTCAGAGGTAAAAAGTGATGTATCATCAATGGAATATTATCGAGTCGAGTAATGAGACATCAAATGGCTGACATTCGATTTATTATTATTTTGCTAAATACTTGTGTTTTTGTCGGGAAATGATTTAATTAAAGTAAATCGTCATTGTTAATGTTTTATTTAAAATACTTTTTCAACTGCACATGCCCACCCCAAACAAAAATAAAACTATTTTTTCTCGACATTCATTCAAGCCTCGCTGAGGGCATGTTTCAATTATGGTTTTATTATAGTAAAATTGTTTTTGTTGAAATTTTAGTGATTTTATGAATGTGTAGATTCTTGTTTAGTTTTATCAAATGGATAGTAAGCTTCAAGCTTTGAAAAATCCTGATTTAATTTAAGCTTATTTGAATCAAAATGGCTTCCGAATAGTCGCAACTTTTTTCGCTTACCACTCTTTGCAACTGTTGGCAATACTGAGATTGCGCTGTTTACGATTACGTTCATGTCTAGGGGAAAAGTGCCAGTAAACTAATTAAGTTTAATGTCTTTGCAATAAAAACAAAAATGTGTTTGTTAAAACATTTTTTTATTTATATTTTTACTTTAATCCTATAGTTATATTCTATAGTTACCTCATGAAATAAGTCATAAAACAAAATATCACAATGCAAAACATATTTGCATAAAATATAACTATGATTATCTATAATTCAAGGAATGCAACCAAAACGTAACAGAACAAACATAAATAAATTATTTTATTTAATATATCAAATATATAATGCAGAGACAAAATCAATTTTCTTAAAACCCTCGTTCAACCCACAACACCCACATGAACTTTCCCTTCTTTGGTTATTCCCTGAATAAGTAGGAAAAATATGATATCGTAACATAATCTAAATTACGCCATTATCATATAAAAATTAATTATCTTATGGATAAGTTCGTCATCATTAAATATTTTATTGATGCAGTATTTATTTTACTGAAAAATATTGTCTATCTTTACACCTGATTAGAAATTTATTGTACACTAGATGATCTAGTGCACTTCATATCACCTCTCACAGTTTAAATCTTCCCGGAACTACGAGAAACATTTCAAAACTAAAATCAGCAAAATCGGCCCAGCCATTCTCGAATTTTAGCGAGACAAACGCACGGCAATTGATTTTTAAGATAGCTTTAGGATCAACTCAGATCAAACGGGAGGGCGATGAATTCTTTTCAATTATGTTTAAACACCAATATATTTTTAGTTATTTCTGATATTTATTTAAAAATATGTTTTGAAAACATGTCTAGCATAAATCCGCTTGGTATGTTAGCTGACGCTTAATCTAAACGAATACTACTAAACTATTACATACGTAGCAACGTACAGTCTTTTATTACAATATGCCTAAATGTTAGTGGTCCCAGTTTGAGCAATTTTCTGTTTCTGTTCAGCTATCCAAGCGTGGATTCTTTCTTTGAGTTCAGTGTTCGATTTAACTTGATCCATGGAGAGAGGCGAACGGTTAAATGGATCTGACTGGTCGCTAAGAAGATGTCTGTGGAAGTAAAAAAAAAAAAACATGATTTCAGCAGTAAACTAAACCAATACGGTTTCGTTTTCAAAAAGATTAAAATTTATAAAAAGGTCGTATTAATGTCGGAAGGAGAAAACCCGGGTTGTTACCTATCTCTGCTTACATATTACTACAACTACAAAATCGATTGACCTGAGTATAGTCGGGCAAATAACCAAACGTTAGCCTTCTTGTTTAAGTGACATGTTTAAATCTTCTACTCTATACACGTTTTGTATACATATCAGAATGATATGGCATACAGCGATTTCGCAGGTATAAAAAAAAGTTTAAATTTTGATTTAAATTTAATGTAAGAATGTTTTCAGAAATATTCATTTTAAGGCTTTTCAAAATTAAAATAAACAGTTACAATTATTATTTAAAACAGAGTAGAATACCTTATTAAATAAAAAATATAAGTTATAAAATATACCTTTAAATATGCTTACCTGGCAATAGTAGTCCGGTCAACGGTGGTGCGAGAACTGGGCAGAGTGACCGGGTCCAGCATGAGGGTACTCATGATGGGATCGAGGAACTCCTCCGGTGCGTTGGCGAGAATCTCCTCATCGCGCTGGCGTTGCTCCGCGAGCTGACCGACACGGGTGGCGACTTCTTGTAGTGAACTGATCAGTCCACCGCCACCGATACGCACTGAACAAATTTGACCAATTTTGCATTAATATTTCTGTACTGGAGAATATTCTTAATGAACAATGCTTAAAAAATCCTCTTTGTCCCTGGTACCTTGGCCCTTTTTTACGGGCTCAATGGCGCGGTGGTAGAGTTCCCACTATTGCGCCGAGAGTCGTGGGTTCGATCCCAAAATTCAGGACAAACATTTTTGCGATTAACAATTATGTCTGTTCTGTGTCTTTTCTATTTATATTATGTATTCCCCCCGTTGTTTCTGATATCCGTAACAAAAGTGCCTAAGCTACTTACCTCGGAATCGGATCAATGTGTGTGATGTTGTCCGATATTTATTTATTTATTTACCTTTGTCGCAGTCCGATTGCTCAAACCACTGAGTTACCCCGGATCAAACCTCAGAATAACAGGGATCAAGTGGATTTTTAAGGTCCTTGGTAGTTCAGTGGTTAAGAACAGTCGCCAGGATTTAGAAAGGGTTCGAATTCCATCTCAGAGTACCCGGCGACAAAGTGTATTTTTAAGCATTTTTCCTTATAAATCTAATTGTTATGTGAACTATCCGGACGATCTTGTAGTGTTGTAAAGTAACAGTAGTGACGTGAGATAGTGAAGTTGAAGTGTGTATTTTGTTCAACGTTTTATTTTTGTAATAGAGGTGTAGACAACTTTTTTATGTATTTATTTTATCGATATACATGACATTTATCTAAAAAAATATGATTCATTTATCAAGTTACAATCTAAAAATAAATTTAACTTTCAAATCTCCCGCGATAACGCCACTTCTGTCATGGCGTCGCAAGGCTAAGTTTTGATGAGTAAGAGGAACGTGACGTAACGCGATGTTTGCGGTCATGTTACAACGAGTATAAAATATTTATTTTTTCATATTTAATTTAAGCACTATTATTAAATATAATACGCATAAACTGTGATTTTCGGTAATAGTATATTCAAAACTACAAAAAAAAAAAATGTTTATCCCTAACCATAGCTAATAAATAATATTATTGTAGTCCAGTCGCCAAACAGAGAGAATTCCATCTATAGGGAAGGCCTGTGTCTCAGCAGTATCCAAATACACAAAATTATATTAAGCAAATTGATTCATAATTTTATTGATGAAGAACAGTAATTTTTTTGCATAAATTGTTGGTATATTTGAATTACAAATATAATATTGTAATCCATAAAAAATTACTTATAATTTATCCAAAATTTCAAATATAAAATTCGTTATTGATAGTGTTAGCTATTTCCAGTTATTATTAAATTCAAATAAGTTTCATTCTATAAGTATAATATCCCTAAAATTTACAAGCTTCGATCCGTTCACCGAATCAAAGAAATATAAATATCTCGAAAAAAAAGTAATGATTGAATAATAATAACATGAGTAGTGGATAAGCGCCGCGGCCCGCGATCGTTGTCGATAAGCAACTTTAACAAGGGTCGGTCACGGGATGGGTGACCAAAAAATTATTATCTCGAGCTACTCCGTGCTTCGGAAAGCACGTTAAGCCGTTGGTCCCAGCTTTATTTGTAGTCGTTAATACCCGCCAATCCACATTGGGCCAGCGTGGAGGGTCATGGCCCATCCTCCTTAGCCATCCATAAGGAAGTCCTGAGCCCCTGCAGTGGGGACGTAAAAGGGCTGATGATGATGATGAATAATAATATTTCGGCTAACCTAATACGGCTTCAGCCAGCGTGAACAACTGGGGCGAGTAGGACCGGCCGTCATCAGACACGGCGGCGCAGAACCGCTCGTTTGTGCCCAACTCTACGTACATACGGCAGATGTCCCTCACAGTACTAGCCGGGTCGAATTCGAACTCCTTCATGTCTTTTACCTGTATATATCGGGATATATATTGTATTAATATCACACTTAAATCTTAATCTGTATACATTTACAAAAAAAAAAACAATAAAATTGTGTCAACAATAAAAATAAATTAAAAAAATATATAATATATGTGTAAAGTTAAAACTAAAACTCGTTCAGGATGTCTTTTGGCCTACAAGAAGAACAAGCGAAAGAAACTATCAGCTCTTTATCAGAAATAACGACATTTTAATAATTATTTTAATAATTATTTTACAAAAATAATAAGTATTAGAATAATAATAAAAATAATTATTAATGTCTGTAGGACATAGCAAAGGTACATTTATTTACAGGTAGGTCAATAATATTTTGTGGAAATTTATTGAACATAGCAATGCATTTATATAAATATTCTTCTCGCAAGATTATTTTTATTCCTCGAGTTAAAATTACGTAAAAAATATATTTTCGTATATGTATTGTAACAGTCAAAATATGATTTCATTTCCATTTTATAGGTAGGAGAGATCTAACAAAACGTTGGATACAATAATAGACTTATGATTATGCGTTTTTACCTTGAAATTCTTTTTATTGGGTCCGACTAGATGCAATAAGAAGTAGTTGAGCATTGAGGCGATGCGGTCGACGAGCGTAGGGTGGCAGAACACGTGCGGCGCATGCGCAGTCAAACGGACGAGCGTGCGGATCGTGTCGCGACCTAGTATATTGTCGAACCGCGCCAAATTGCCGATGTGAGATAGATTTGCGAGGTTCTGATCGCGCTCCTGTGATGATAGTTCGTTCCATGCACCGGTTTCTCTATTATAAAAAAAGTATAATAAATTTTAATTCAAATTTAAACAACCAACATGAAGAACCAAGTAGGTCTATAACGTTCCGACCGAGAATCAAACCTGGGACCTGATTGAAGCAAATATTGATCGTTTTCTGCGTTGACCTGATACTGCACATAAAGTCGTTTTAGGGCATGATTACAATTAATTGACGGAAATTCTAACTAACGAGTTAATAAAAAAGTCCATTTGACAAGTCCACGTGATTGAACGAAATATCGACCGTCTACGGCAGTGATTCCCTAAGTGGTCCAGGTGGATCTCCAGGGGTCCACGAGGGATTCAACGAGGTTCTACGTTGGCGTGAAATAAAAATAGAAGAGGCGAATTTAGAGTTGGAACTCACCCGCGACACCAATTTCCATCTAACGAAGATCTAACGATCTTCACATTTTCGACGAATTTTGGGAATATGTTAAAAATGTAGCAGCAGGGGGTCTAAGAGATGAAATTATTTGGGAACCTCTGGTTTACGGCATTGACTAGGTCTACGGCTTGATCACAATTGACAGAATTTTTATTGACGACCATAGATCTGTTTTTATATTTGACGGCCTTACATACTTAACTCTTTTTTAATGGCACTTGATACGCTTGTGCTCACTAACTACATGACCCATAGGTTTGACGCGACTTGACGGTACTGGACAAGTTATTTTCATTCAACACCGAAATTGCGGACGTTAAACAGGAAATAAGCACAGATAAAGAATAAATATTTAGAAAATAGAAGCCCCATTTAAAGATGATTTTGATACTTGTTGCGTTAAAGTTATAGTCTTGCTCTTCAATAAAAAACTATGGAAATACTTTGAAAAGTATGACAATTTGTAGAAGATCAGAAAAATAAGATATGATTGTAGAATCGGCATTAATCCTAGTTATATTGAAATAAACATTTTAATATTTCATTTTAATATTTAAATTAATATTTCCATCTACACTATATTTTTCATTTTTTATTTTCTAAATAGAAAAAGAATGAAGTAATACCAACTTATATGTTTTAGAAATATAAGATGACCTACATCGCGTTGACACAGTAATGCCATCCAACAGATTAACTAGTAAACCTATATCTATCCACGTCCTCAGACAGTATGACAAAAAATGTCATAGTGGGCTCTCTATTCCCTGTATAGGTATACAGGTTGTAAATACAAAGATCTGTTTTTAAGAACAATGTCATCGTCAGCGAGAAGAAAAATTACATTTACACAAAAAAAATATTATTATTATTATTATTTTACTCATATATTATCGACGGGCGCAGGTTTTATTTAATGTATTTGCATCTTTTTAAGGTCGGTTATTTAGTACTTTATATCTTCAAAATTACTAAACCGAAATGTGTGTTGTTTCGTAAGTTAAAAGCTTATCAAGCTTAAACAATTATTACGATCCAATGTCTAATTTGCAAAAATACACGGGCAAACGTACATATATAATGTAAAGTCGGAATCCGGAGGTAATGAACGACGAATCCGAACAGAATCGGTTATTACGACTGAATGAAAAAGCCCAACCGAGTTTCTATATAAATATTGAATAAATATACCACCAAAAGGAACATCCTCTATAGCGTGACATCGCTTATAATGACGAAAGCAACTCCTGCAAAACGATACAATATGAATAATTCTCAAAATTATTCTTATCTATAAATAAAAGAAATCAACATTATTCCAATCCGAGAAAGGTCGTTTGATTTTTCTCCCAACCCACAGGAACTCCTTACGCGCTTTTTCTCGTTTTATCTTGTCCATTTGGTGACGAGTGATATAATTGAAATCAATGTATGTTTTCGCAACAAAATTTAGGAAAAAAAGGAAAGTTTTTGTAATGCAAGAAACATAACACACAAAATGGCGAGTTAAATAGTGAAATTGCAGATAAATATAAGCTACACTGTAGACACAGTAAGTTTTTTGAGTAAACGTTTTTATTTCTTTTTTATTTGATCATAAAATGTCGAATTTAAGAGTACTATATTTATCTTAAATTTCTATATAAACAAACAAAAAAAGGGTAAAATGATTTCTTTACATTTATATAATCTTAAATGACCAAAAGATTTCTTTACAACTGTATTTGTATTTTTCTGTAATTAAAAATGTATGAAATCAATCAAGCTCGTCTTTACTCTCGACGTGTATTTGTGTGGGAACGTAAGGGGGGTACAAGGCCTCTATATAATTTATAGAGTGTACTTACTGTGCGATCTGCATCGAACGTATCTGGGCCATGTTGCCGAGTGCCTCATCGAGCAGGTAGATGGCATCGTTCATCAGTAAATTAACAAATCTCAAGAATATTGGTGGATGCACCGCCTCCATATTAGCTTCAGCTTCATTAGCTAGACGCCTGAAATATGTATACAGATTGATATCATTTATATGTGATTGTTATAGCACAATAATAATATCCATACTACCATTTTATGGTACTGTACCCAAAAGGTTAGAAACGGGACTCTATTACTAAGACTCCGGCGTCCGTTCGTCCGACTGTCTCTAACCAGTCATGAATTGTGATGGTCAAATAAAATTTTCAAAGATGATCTAGTTTCGTTGCCGTTATTATAAACATTAAATAAAAACAGAATAAAATAAACATTTAAGGGGTTCCCGAAGAACAAAGGTGATTTTTTTTGCTGCTTTCCGGTATGGCACCCAACGTTGCTGAGTTGCTTACGGAAACTCAAACATGGGTGGTTTTTGAAATAAATATTAGAGAACATCCAATAAATTAACCACTTGTATTATGAAAATCCGAAACGAGGAAGATACTACAACAATCAGACCCGAGATAATAAAGAAAAGTAAATTTCAACAATACGGGTAGACCGACCGATAACCACTTTTATGCTTATTATATTTATAATATTGCTTAATTAATTCATAATGCAAATACAAATATTTTATACTTGTTGTCACGTGAGCACAAACAGTTCTTTACGTCACGCCCCTTTTCCTCATAGCAGAACTTAGAGAATTAAACCTTATACATACATAGAACGGTATTAGTTTTAGAGGGGTATGACACTACGTCATAGCGACGCCATGACAGAAGTTGGCGTTTTCGCGGGAAATTTGGAAAATGACGGTTATTTTTAAATTATAACTAATTACATGAATGATACTTTTATATATATATTTTTTAGATATATTTAATTTATATCTATAAAATAAAAATACTAACAAAATGTTGTCTACACCCCTATTATTCTACCGGGAATTTATCGTCTTTCTTTAATAGTGCTTTAATTATAAATTAGGAGTCAACTGTCGCCATCAATACAATAATTATTATAATTCAAACTGCTTTATTGGCGAAGTGCGGCTTACACCAATAAGTAAATAAAAGATTACTCACGTAATGGCATCTCTGTGTTCCTCGATGCCCCATAGGAAATCCATGACTAAGTACATTGGACGGCGGTAATTAAACTTTTGCTCAAACTGTACACTCTGACCAGTCATCTCGATGCCCACGAACACATCCAGCAAACAAGGTACCAACTGGAAAATATTTCGTTCGATTTACACATAATTTTTCAATTTTAATAGTTTATTGGAACATAAAATCTCGATTAGACAAGGATATTTTACTTGTGCCGTCAGTAAATAACAATGACAAAGGATACCACTCCACTCTTGTATTTTGCGGTTCATTGTAACATTTAAAACAATTTTATTAAAAAAAAACTTACAGAATTTTTATGTAGAAAATTTATTACAGAAGTTCTTAATAAAAATTGTGTGTTGCCGTCTCGCTTATTAAAAAGGAGTAAGCGAGACGGTAATACAATCGACTAAACGATGTTTTGTGACACAACACTTTAACAAGTAATTTTCCAGTATAGAACAACTTATCCAATAGTATATACATAGTCTTTTTGGGCAATAGAAATAAAAAATCTGTCGGATTCATATCGTCCTCATAGAAAGACAACTAACCAACTAAAAATGGTAAATTTTTTGGAGAAAAAAAAAACCATAACTTTTGCTTACACTAATACAACTGCATTTTTGTATACAACATTATAAAGTTATGGTATACGAGTCTCTTCGATTTTAAAAGAAAGTAAAACAATTTATGGTTGAAAATGTTAAATTAATCAAAGATACGGCTGAGTGGGCTGGATTTGTTATTTAAAAAAAAATACAAAGTAAATATTTGATCTTGTGCTGTTGGAGGGCTTTACAAAATACCTTATATACATTAACATCTTCACTGCCACTGGCTACTACAAATTGACTATTCTTAGATAATAATTGATTTAATAAAAGCGGGTAGTTCCACTAACCTGTAGTCTGTGAGGGTGTTCTTTGAACAATTGTTCTCGGTAGAATGACGCCAAGTTGCTAAGCGGTTGTTGATCGTCCGGATGATTTGGCAACATAGCTTCTAAACATTCTGCAAGACGAGCTCTGAAATTTTTTTATTTTTTATTAATATTTAAAAATTCTAGAAATGTGATCTTTGTTAACACAACTCTAAAAATAACTTTATATTCATTTATTAGTAATATAATTAGTATAATAACCAAAGATAATGAGATCATGATTAAGTTCACCAAAGATATAACCATCTGAAGCTACCAGCCCTGCGATTCTGTAAAAATCCTAATCCGAATTAGAATTCACTCAGGTGTCCGAATTGACTTCAAAAGCAGCATCTGCTCAACCTTGAATCGGTAGCAACGTTTCGTGGCATAAGTGAAGTGAGTTTCGAAATGACATAGTGATAGAATATCTGAGTCAAGTATTGTTGTGATAGAATATCTGATTTGTTTTGTGTTTTTATATAAAAAATGAAATCGATAGAATTTATAAACTAAACGACGAGAATTCGGACACATGAGTGAGTTCGAATTCGGGTTCAGATTTTTACGGAATCGCTCTCCAGTTGTAATTTTTTTCAAAATAGTGTTAAAGATGTTTATCGCCCGCTATGTTAGAGAATGGGGATTAAGACTAATACATGTTTGTCTGTTCGTCGGGTAAATTATTGAAGAATATTAAATGCCTGTTTTTTAATCAATAAATTACAGGGGCACATTTAGTTGAAATGTCACATAACGTCACACCTATGTACATTTTCTACATAGTCGTGACATAGAGAGCACCCACTCCTCAACTTTAATGCTTATTATCGTAGCCATTTCTCGTTAAATTGAAGCAAAAATACCTATCTTATATTTTTCCATTATCTGACTGACGGCTAAATAATATTTCTTTATTTTTACTCAGGCATCATCCATATGAAAAGTTCTTACCTAAGATGTGGATTGTAGGTCCGCGTGGAATCACCCATGAATGTAAGCACTAGAGTGAGCGCTGGGTGTAAGAGACCCGCTATGTCGGCTTCCTCTGTGATTGCGCCCACAGTACGTCGCGCCATAGTAATCAGAACTACAATATTTTCCAATACGAATTCCGGGACACATCTGTCGAATTCATAGACGTATAGCTGACTACATTGTCAAAACGCTTGTGAAGTTAAATATCTTTTATATTATTTATTACATAATTAATATCTTTTTCAAAAAATAATTGATGCATTAATATGAACATTTTAAAATATGTACCTAATTATAATGCTTTAAAATAACTAATCTACAAGGCAGTAAAATGACTGATGTATGATACCTAATTTTCTGTAATAAGACTAAAATATTATTAAGACCAAAATTCACAATAACATTTAAAAACGCTATTTACATAAAGGGTTTTGTGTAAATACCGGAAACCAAATCGCGTATTCTTGAGCCCCATTTAAATATATATTTAATTCTGTTTTTTAGTATTTGTTGTTGTTTAGTAGCTATCATGGATTATGAATTACAGTTCGATGACAGACGGATGGACGGCTGAGTCTTAATAACGGGGCCCAGTTATTTATCTTTTAAGTATGGAACCCTAAAATGTCGGTTTGATTTATATATCATTGTGTATTTTATATAATCAATAGAAACAATAAGAAGTACTCTGACCTTAAAGTATCTGGTGGCGGAGTGGTGATGGGCATTTCCACAGGTATAACGGTGGTAGGTGCGTAACTCGCCTGAGGCTCTGTTGGATTTGGTCTTATTGCTACTTGCACTAGCCACATGCAGGTAGTGGCTTGCAAACGGTTAAGATTCGTCAGCATATCATTTTCAAGAAGTGCACACCGAAGACTAAAGAATCTAAGGAATAAGACAAAATGTTTAAATACATTTGAAAAATACATACAATTTACTGAATATTTCATCTTTTATTCTTGGTAGTTAGTTTCGCGTCTGGCTCTTGAGCGCATTAAAAATTTGTAATTCTTGATAGTCACCGCAAGGGGACGCTATTCCGGAACCGATTGCGAATGCCTACGTAAAAATCATTGAAGTTAAAACATCTTATTTACCTGTTTATACCATGCTATGTGTGTACTATATGTTTCTTTAAATCAGATTTTTTACTTTTCAGTTATTAGGGACCATTTGTTTCATACTGTCTATCTTGTAATGTAATATACAGTACCTAAATGTAGATTAATAAAGTATATATAAAACTAAAGCCTTGGAGTACTTCAATTGTCTCCAGAGAACACCAGTTAAGAAGCTGCTTTAAATTATAGCACTTATTAGTTTCGCGACCAACTTAATATATAAATATTATTAAGTTGGTCGCGAAAAATTTAGGGGAGCTTTGATGGGCACGTTGTAACATGTTTCTTCTGTGATATTTCATGAAGATTTATAATATTATTTGAAATAAACTCAAACGGAAATTGATAACTTATTTTAGTTCTATCTACTGATATCGATCAACGCTCATACAAGAAGTTTTTATGTCGCAAAAAACACAACCTATTGAATTTATTCAAAGATACAATCACTGGAGTACAATTATTTAGTTTGACCATAAAAAACTTCAAATTATAGGCATTAGCTAGGTGAATTGAAGAGATGCCATAGAGCATTAAAAACAGTTTTACTAGATGGATCTCGAAATAGTTTCTATAATGGACGCTATTTGGCGTTCTGATAGAACGTCATTAAAAAAGATGAAAATTCGTGACATAATTACTATTGCTATACTCGTAATTATTTTAAGGATGTCGGTGTAAAAAGTTCCTTTCGTTTGCTGCAACTAAAATTATTAAATATAAATGCATTTAAGGTGTTAATTTAATACAAACTTTGTCATAAGGTGATGCGTGCGTTGTCTCATTGGTTCCAGTAAATGATGTGCACTCGCTGCAACGTCAGCGAGTGCGCGTTGCGCTCTGGCCAAATCTTGTCCACAACGCCATAATTTTTCTGCACAGACTCTCACACCTGCAATAATATTAAGTGTAATTTATAATGGCCTCTCTATGTTCTACATATAATGTTATTAAAATATAAATACATCATAACACACTCCTCTTACAGTACCAATAAAAAAAAAACATTTTCAAACTTTCATATGTACATTTCCTAGATTAAAAAAAAAATGTTGGTTATGTTTTATGTATTTAAAACTTCATCAGACTTACCTAAATCTATACATTTTTGTGTCATAAAAAAGCATTCAGTAACAAAATTGTACATATTAGCAGTGGGCCTTTTCAAAGTCTGACCATCGTCTCCCTCCACAGCAGGTAACAAACAAGTTTCACTATGTAGGCAATCTAAATGTACAGATTTAGCTCCACATTCTTCAGGCTGCAAGGAAAGTAAATATTGGGAAAGAAAAATATAGCTAATAGTTAATTAATACTTGAACATCCTTAACGGTGCGCTTTTATATATATGTGTATGGTGTCATTGTGAGGAGTAGTCTGTTTTGTATAATTTCCGCTTAGTACTGCGTTTTGTTATGCAGGTTGCTAGAAGTCGTTGACTCGACCCTATACAACAAAACGCAGTACGTCACAGCAGAGATGAGTATTGTTTACTATTTTATTATCCGCATAATGCTGTGTCATCATTAACTTATTCGCACGAACAGACAATAGCATTATGATCCATGTTCCTGTTGTGCATGCCAACTTTATTTCATCCACAATTCTAATAATAGCAATACAATATTAGGTTCCTGGGCGCTCACTGTGCTGTAAAATCTGTAAATTAGTACTCAAAATAAGACTACTGTATGCCATGATTGTGAATACATAATCCAATCCAAAACCTTTGTGATGAATCTCAAGTGACAAGGAAGACACCCAGACCCGAGACAATACACAAAAGTGAATTTTTTACATTGACCCAACTTGGAAACAAAAATCATCTTATTTTAAATAAGATCGCATATGGAAATATTTTTAGATTGAAAATGAATGTAAGCACTAAGAATTGATTACTATGATAGGAAAAATAAATATTGGATAACATTACTTTAAAATATCTTGACCTAAACTATTTTAGGAATAAATGTCAAGAACAGTATCAGTCTATCATTTAGATCGATAAGGTGTTAAATGTAAATCTTTCCATTAAAACATATTTTTTTTTGTATTGTGAATGTGTCCAATAGTATTGTTTTGGTAGCTATACTTTTAATTAAAAATGACAATCGACATCTTAGTCTTAAGGGAACCTGTAAAGCATCCGAAACGTAATGAAATCAAATATAAACATGCTACACCTATTCAAAATATTTCAAATTAGTGAGTAGTGAGTGTGTAATATAAAAAAATCAATAAGTTAAAATCAATTCAATTATTCAGTAATAAATAAAAAATAAATAGCTTTCTATATTGTCTACCAAATAGAGGGTGCTTTTTGTGTTTTATCAGTGAAGGGTCTTATACAAATATATGAATTTTCATAACTAATATATTACTGTGCAGTGTATAGGAATATAATCTTTGGTAAAATCCAGAATGATATTTGAAACTCACCAAAACCGCACCATACGTTGGGTCGATTTTCAATGCTTTTATATCATTAGATGTTGTACAAAATGGTTGACATAAATGCAATAATACTGCACCAAGATTCAACATAAAACCATCGGACACACAGCTTAATGTTGCCGCACTAACTTCACCAGCCTGAAAACAGTACATGCACAAATAAGTATATTATTTTATAGTATAACTATTTTATTAAAATATGTATGTATTTGCATACTTGAACGTTCCAAAGTTTTCCCCTTGCAACATTTGTTTTTAGACATTTCCCAATCCAAGTTAATAGACGATTTCTCATCTGAGGACCTGCTTTTAATAATGTTAAGAAAATTTTGTGCATATTGTTTGTTAAGTGAGAGGATGCATTCCATATTGACGATTCTATCATCGAAGTTGCAGCCTGAAATATGTGTATATAAATTGTTATTCTTTTTAATAATAATTAGGTGAAGAATATCAATGCTGGAAGGCAAACACATAGTCACCTGCAAACAAAAATTTTTGGATTTGCAGATTACTGTCCGTTTGCTTTCCAGCAACAATATGTAAATCCATATAAAATATATCATATTTTAGAATAGCTATTAATACCTGGTCCATGGGATTATCAAAAAACTCATGTAGAGATGTAGCAGTTCTAGGTAGAACTGATAAGCTTAACAAAGCACCTAGTATAGAATCTTGATATAGACGTCCATTTGTTTGAATATATGGCTCACAGACTTCCATTAAAATTTGAGCTAAGTGAGCATTACCTACAAGAAAGAAGTAAATAAATAAATGTGTTTTGGCATTCTCCTTTGATTATGACCATATTTAGATTTTAGTATGGCATAGTGCAGTAACCTAGCAGTAACTATGAAGAACTACAAATATCCATACAAATTCTTAATGCATTCACTAGTATACACATTAATGTAACACTTACACTCATCACTGAATTTACAAGCCATATTATTTATAACAAAAAAGCAATTTGACTAAAATATCCAAGTGACTCACTTGCAAATAATTGTATTGATGGCAAAATATAAATAGGTAGGTTGATAAGGTTCGACTTATTTACATCTGTATGTATTATTCTTAGCACAGGAGCCATAGTGTCCTTTAATTGTGTGTGTACACTTTCATTTGTTGCTGAACCTAGAGATGCAAAAAAATAGAATGATATATTGATATATATATATATATACCTCTTTAACCTATCTAAAGAAGAAAGTAACATCTGCATACTTTTTTCAAGAGATTTTTGAAAAAGAGCATGCAGCAAAATTTTCCTGTAATTGTTAATTAAGTACATTAGTTAAACTATTTAATAAATCATAATTTTATTCCTTAACCATCCATAAGGAACGCTTGAGCCCTTGCAGTGGGGATGTATAAGGGTTGATGATGAATTTATATTTGATGAATATCAAATATTATGTATATGTCGATTTATTATATTTCTACTAATACTTCCTTCTTACAAAATATTTGCAAAGTATTAATATTCATTTGTTTATGTTAATAAAACTGAAGGCATTTTAATCTTACACAGGTGATGTTTTATTGAAAAATCTAAGTAGTTAAATGAGTGTAGAAAGTGACATGAAGGGAAAATTAGATTAAATTTGACAAAAGAAGTGACAATTTAAAGGATAATTACAAAAAGAAGGTTCTTACCATCAGATACAAATGCTTCCACAATTTCTATGAAAAAGCTATGGCTCTGTGGATCAACATGTTGTAATAGTTCTACAAGCTGCGTTGGAAAATTTTGATCTTCAAATAAAGCAGGTTGTTTTAGTGCCGTTACAGCATTTCTGAATATAAGTTCTTTCATTTTCTGTACTGCTGTTTTAACATAGTCAGTGTTTGTTTGTTCATAACTTTGAAGATTTTGTATGGAGTTGAATAAATAAGGGAATACCTGTTTCTGAATTACATACTCTTTGAAAATTTTACACGTCTTTGGGATGACATTTGATTCAACCTCTGGTAAAAGTAACCTTTCAAAAAGGGCTTGTTCTAAAGCTTCCAAGTCAATATATGAATGAGGTTTAGTAGCTTCTGCTAATTCTTCCAAGTAAACCAATTGTTTATCAGAGCTTGTATAGTTATCAACCGCATTAGGGTTTATTGTAAAGTGGAAAACGTTTTCGACAATGCTATTTATTGTTTGAATTTCTTCATTATGTGTGCTTTTTGAACTGATTTGTAAAGGCGTGTTACTATCATTGTAACCTGTGTTATTTGTTGATTTCACTTCTGATACGCCTATTAAGCCAGCGAAAGGATTATTCGGTTCAGACATTGTAAACTAGCGATTAGTTACGATTAACTGTCTCACATCCTACAAATTTATCCACAATGGTTCCTTCTTATCATAGGACTTTGGAATATAGAATAATTACAAAAAAACGTATTTGTATAATAAAACACTATTTACTACTTACTACAGAGGTGACGTCTGACCATAGAGTCTGACGTGACTTGTCATTTGATGTTCCCGGTGATGTAGTACCCTATTTTTCAAAGTTACGTATTATTATATTATGTATTAAGTTACGTAATCGTATAGGGCATCTATATGATGCGATAAAAAAAACAATAATAATTTACAACAGATTATTTTCTGGTGTTCTTTGTGCCCATTTATTTTCATTTTTATAAGAAGTCCTGAATAGGTAACAGAAAGTCAATCCAAAACAGTTATATTAACGCCACGACTGTATTTAGGTCCTGACGAGAAGCGCAATCTTTGCCTTTTTTTATTATAAAGGGCTAGTAGGTATTGACCAGTGGTGGTTACTATTATTTTCGGCATTTATATTATAGCAATTATATTTAGAACATGTATACATGTAAATATATAATTTCAAATGGCTGGTTATACGAGATTAATTAGATAACTAAATTGTGAACCTAATTTTAAAGATATGTAAACATAAGTAATAAGTATTAACCATCAAGTTAAAATATGCTTAACTATTTATGAGCTAAATTAGAAATAAACTCATTACTTATTTATGTGCTTACATGTACTTAATCCGATTAATTAAGTTAAAAATCTACTTGATCACGTGTAAACCAGCCATAAGAGCGTCCCCTTTTTGTAACGCAGGGGAAATACTCCTTAAACTTTATACCAGGGTTTTCTAATCACCCCGTCGTGAAAAGGACAAGTTTAATATGGGAGGCTTACCTGGTCAAATTCCACTGCAGTTCGGGAACCCGCAGCGGGTTTTATCAGGCAGGCCAGCCACACTAACCTAGAGGGTAGGCTTTAAAGGTGACGTGGTTGAATAGCCCTGATTTGAGGTTCAAGGGTCATTTCTCCTGTGTTAGCAAAAAAAAGGAGGGTCTGATAGAGTTGCCCTAAGGAGGAGGGAAGTCTTTACTCTCCCTAACAAAGGAGGGTCGAAAATCATTAATATTGTATTCATTGACTTAGACTTATGTCATTTCAATAATATATCCTTCTTAGTGTAGCACATCTGTTTTATAATCTTTGTCGACCACTCTGTGGCAACGTAATCTGTGATATTTTGTATTTTGTAAGTGGCACTTCAACATCAACTAGTCTGAAAGTAAACTCATAACTGTGAACACGTTTATTTATTTTACCGATCCTTCGCATAAATAGAGTCAGATAGTAAACTTATCAATAAGTTAAATATCAACCTATATACTAATAAATAAAACACAAAACATTTCGGTGTAAAGTAGTGACCCCATACAATAATCGGTAAATTAGTTATTTAGGTAATGCGAATATGCAATAGGAATAATAAGTAACACATACGGTACAAAAGTTGTTTTCTGGCAACTCTGTCGTCCACTTTATTCTTGCCAGAAAGTAACTTCCGCTTTACATTTTAATGTCATTTATTTTATTTTATGATATTCGTTTGGTATTTATCAACACCAAAAAAATGTTCAATAAGGTTTTTATTCAAAGTTCTATACTTTTATAAATTTTATTTTTACAAATACTTAGAATAATTATTTCATTATGTGACAATAACAAAAAACTGACAACGATTTCTGAATGGCAACATTGTCGTATAAGCAGAACTGCAACCTTGTAAGTTATTGACCGGAAATGTTCGGTTACGCCTCTTTCATATTTTAGTATAAATGAATTAACAAAATAATTTGTGAATTTTCATCACTAAATGTTAATAGTTAGAAAGAAATAATAAAACAAAATTTATGGTAAATTTTTTCTCTAAATTAATTAACGTATTTGGAAGTTGCCTTGTTTTTCAAATAGAAGATTTTGCTTCTAGAGGGTGGCTATACTGTACGATGCTAGCGCTAGTAATTATTGTGTGTAAAAATAGAACTATTTCTCAATAACTTCCCGTTCCGCTTCGAAACACTGCGATATCTTGCCGCAGTCGTCGTCCTAAATCAATATTGCGTACTCGATTTGTAACGTCTTTATGCAGCAATGCTATGAAAGATTCCAATTTTTACATGGCGTATAGTAGTCGCACATAGTGAATCGTTCATTAATGTAAGATTGGTAACACTTAATTATTTACTTATAGGCCATTGCAAATGCGTGTCCCCTTATATATTTTTTACATAAAGTGCTTGATCTCCAAGGAGACTAATAACACACGTGCAATATTATTAGTATTCCGTTACACATGCAAAGTACTGAATATTACGTGCTGGAGTTCATGGAAACTTACCTAAATTTATTGTTTAAAGGTCATTGCTAGTTAAAATGGCGGTCCATTTTCCATTTTTAATTTTGTTGTATGGATGTCAGTCGTTTTCATGTCTTTTTCAATTTCTTTTAACTTAGTTATTATGTGCATGCATTTTCCTTTAGAATAGGTAGGTTTGTTAAAATTCGTGTAATTCTATTATATTAGAGGTTTTTGGTGTTGGTAATTTGGTAATACGTTATTGAGGTTATATCTTATTATTCAAGTCTTCAAAGTTATTCTTTGTTCTTATTTTGTATTTAAAATGAAAACAAAGGTGGGTACTTATTTATTTAGATAACTTTCATTTTTAGAATTAAATATTTATTATGCTACTACGTAAAATTTTCATGGCCGTATTCTACATTGGTTAGCTTACGTCATCTACAATTCATCGTATCTTAGTGTGAGTGACTGTATAATACACATTGTGTGACCTCGATGAGTTGGAAATCCTATCTTTGAGGTGGAACACACTAATATCTTGCCATTCTAGAAGGCTGACGTCATTTATATAGTAGCGAGCGAGAGCGCAGCACACGGCAAGATATTGTGTAATTTGAACGTCCACCCACTGCTTGCCTTGCTCGGCTCTCTATACCTAAATCGTTTGAAAGTTGTGGCTATGAACAGTTATTGCACTGACTTCCGCCATATATGTTGACTCTCTTTACTACGCATATTTTAGTATTATTGTGAAATTTGGAGATCTATCTACTGATTCTCAATGATTATTGTTCCAACGATTATTAGGTACAGTATTTAAGAGAACGAAATCTCGCTCTTGACGTGTAACTACGGCGTTATAATATCGGACATGCATAACATCTGTTTAATGTATTAAGATCAACTTAAGTTTGAATATTGTAAAATACGTATTAGCCCTTTTGCCAATTTAAGGGTTATACATACGGAGAACGTTTACTATACATACATATGTGCCAATTTGTTTGTGTGAGTTACATATTCGGTCAAAATCAATATAAGAACTGTCACAATATATTTTCCTTTTACATGTTTTTCCAATAAATTTATTCATTCTATAGTATATATCGTTCTGTTAAAATATGATAAAAGATTGTTTTATTTTAGTCAGTGTACTTATAAATTTTGATTTAGGACTTCATTTTTTGCAAGACTACTTTAATTGGGCGGGTTATAGACGAAAGAAAAGATGGCGCCGGACTTGCTTTGTTGTGAGGCATGACGCATCTGTTTTCCGTCTAAGTTGAATTATTAGATGTCTCATAATTATAAACCGGATCACATATACATTTTAAAACTTTTAAAAATTTAATTATATTTGTTTAATGAATATAAATAATTTTACATAGTTACATACTCGGTTATGTATTAATTAGGGTAGGGATAAGAATGGTTGCGTAAACAACAAAATAATTGTCACTTTTTCATTTACTTTTTGATAAAATCAATCATAGTATGATAATCGCATATAGTTAACTTGAGAAATGTTTTAAAAACTTAACACATTATTGCTTTCTATATATACATTTCGTTATCGAGTGGTAATATCGTAACAAAAGTTCATTAAATTAAAGAATAACAAAATTACTTTATCAAATAATCCCTATACTTTGTATTTAGTACCTTGTTAACGTATTTTACAAACTTCAAAACATTTATTATTTGGCTAGTTATCTATATACTAATGGCATACTAATGAAATGTTGATTACACCATTTAGCAACAGGCACCTATTATTTTGCTTGCATAGAGACCAAATTAAAATACACAGAATTTTTTAATAATGAGTTTTTTTTTAATTTAATATATCAGCATTCATTTATTCTGAATAGACCTACGATGTTCATTTTCAAATTGCACAAGATTTCTTTTTGAAAGAAGAAAGTCGAAAGATATGTCCATGTTTGAAACGTGTGTTTCTCCGCCTTAAACTTGAATTTTCTTTTTTCGCTGCTTAGGATTGTAAATAAACGAGAGTCTGAAACGAAGATGGTTATTTACTTTTAAAGATGATTAAATTGAACATTTTATACGTTTCAGTGACCCATACATAATGGCTGACACAACTGCTAATATTGAAGACTTGGAAGATGGAGAAATAGAAAGCGAAGAGGAAAATGCCAGTGAACCCCAAAATACAGTTAAAGGAGAAGAAAATACACTTGAAATTTGTGAAGAAGATAAATCCCGTCTTGAGAAAGAAGCTACACAAGATTATTACTATTCCAAATCAGGTAAAAAAAAGAAATCAAAATCTAAAGATCAAAAATCCAAAGATAAAAATAGGAAAAGTCGTAAGTATGCGAGTCCCTCCGAAGACGATTTTGCTGGTAACATTGAGAAGGCTATTAGAAAGGCTATGAATAAAAGTGATGATGGAGAAACTTTCCCTGACGACGACGTTGAAGAACGCCGTAAACACAAAAAGCGAAAGAAAAATGAAGCTAAAGAAGGTCCTAATAAGAAACGTAAAAAACAGGAATTCAACGATGAAATGGATGAGAGTGAAATGATGTGTATCAGGGGTGCATCACCTGTTCAAAAGCCCGTAGATACCTTTGAAGAGGATGACAAAGAGTCTTATGCTTCTGATAGCAGTCAAGACTCTCGGGGCCCTCAACATCATCGTCCGCAGAGGCATAGGCAAACACAAAGAGAACGCAATAAAAACAAAAATGAACGTAGAAGAGGAGCACATCCAATGCAAGATCCTGATGGTGTTTGTTTGTACTACATGCAAGGAAAGTGTCATAAAGGTGAAGATTGCGTTTTTTCACATGATGCACTACCCCCACGAAAAATGGAACTATGTAAATTTTATCTAATGGATTGTTGTGCAAAACGTGACAAATGTCTTTATATGCATGCAGATTTTCCATGCAAATATTATCATACAGGGCTTCCTTGTGTATATAAAGATGAATGTAAATTTGCACATGGCAAACCATTGACAGAAAATTTGAAAAACATTCTTCTAAAGCATATTGAATCTGCTCCTAAAGAGATATTAGGTGATTTTCCTAGGTTGCATAGAGAAGGTGCGTTACAAATGATCCAAACAACGCAATTAAAATTAATGCAACAGTATTCTGAGAACCATGATGGAGATGATAAAAATATACCTTCTCTTTTTGATCTAAACATACCCAATCCTCAAATGATAAACGAATCACCATCGCAAAATAATTTTGATAAAATAAACAAAGTATCGCCGAAAGTTAGGCAGTCACGATGGCAAAACGATAATTCAAATTCAAATTTTTCTGCCAATAGTACCCCGCAAGGCAATAATTTGAACACGACAAATGTATTAAATATAAAAAATTTAACTGGGGTTCTTACTCCTCGACAGATTTCCGACCTCACTAAAATGGGCATTGAAAATTTAGATCAATTAGGACAGTTAACAGTGTTACAGTTAAACAGTATTGGTATATCTTTAAAACAAATCACTGAAATACAGTTAAATACAATGAGTATACAAAAATTGGGGTTGATAAATACCAATCCTGAACAACAATCACAGCCGTTTATATCTGCTACAAGTTCAGCTAAAGATTTAGACTTAAGAGTGCCACCCATAGTTCCAGTAAGTAATAGTGTTACGTTACCTTCAGATTTTCCTGGGAAAGATGTTGATATGCGCTTTCAGACAGCAGTGTCTGTTCCAGCAATAGACGACGTAAATCACGTCATGCGAAAAGATTTACAGTCAAAGGACATGATAGACATCGATCAATATACAAAAGATGCTTTGAAATTTGCATCTAAAGATAAAGAGAACATTGATATTTCGAATGAAACATATGATAGTGATAAGTCTATTCTAAATGTTGAAACAAAAGATGTAGATCACCGAGTACTTCCATTTTCAGATGATGCCCCTAGAATAATTCATACGTCTATAGAAAATACGTCTGTTGTAAAGAAAGAATGTGATACAGATATTAGGTTCTTACAACCGGAACCTATATTTAAAAATCCTGAAAAACGACATCGACGTTCAACTACTGATGATGAAGACAACCTATTAATTGACGAAAAATGGTATTCAAGCGATGAAGAGAAAGGAATAAAAAAGAGATCTCCCGCTTCATCACCTCGACCATCTTCATTATCACCGCAGGCTCCAGCCCCACATGTTATCGAACCTTCGGCTGTTTTGAGTAGGCTTGGTGATCTCTCTAAAATAGATATAAGTGAAGAAGTAACTAAATTACTGAACACTATGAAGAATAATCTACATGATGCTAAAACTGACATAAACAATGAAACAATGAGTTCTCCAAAATCAAGAGATCCAAGATCTAGGAAGTCTCCAGATAAGGTTAGTGAATTAAGTAAGACATCTAATAATAAACCTGCTCGAATATCTATTTATGAGTGCGTTGACGGTGAACCTACTGATGGTCGTAGAAGAACAGACGTAGATTTACGACAACCTGATTATGCACTTCCAGCTTTTGGTGATACTGATTTAAGACAAAGTACGAGTGGGGATATTGATTTTCGATTAAGTTTACCGTTTAAACCGATACCCAATTACACACCAGCTTCAGAAATTAATGGATCTATCAGTAATCATCCTCCTATTACATATAAACTAATACCTATAGACATACCAAGGCCAGATTATACGGATATTAGAAATAGTACAGCCAAGTCGCAAGCTCTAGTAGATCCTAGATTAAGAAAAGTTTTTAGATTGTCATTAGACGAATCAAATAGTGATAGCGAAAAATCAAGCAAGCCTGCGATGCCCGCTGCACCAAGAGTTGATCCTCGACGTAAGCCTAATAATCCGATCGATAATATTTTGAGTCAGGAACCAAAATCTAATGCTTTAGAATTACAAAATATTTTACAAAATTCTAATTGGTATAAAGATCTTAGCTCCACTCAAAAGATATTTGTAAATCAGCATTTAGCCCCTATTACCCAAATGATTAAACAATATCAACAGGAGAAACCGCTCGGGAAAAAAATAGATATAACAGGAATACAAACCAATAATGTTTTGTGTAATATATTTGCAAATTTAGGGGTATCTTTGGACGAAAATGGCGAGTTCTCTTACTTGCCAAAACCGAAAGAGGCGTTGTTAAAAACACCTGTTAATTTCAATCAAAATACTAATCCATTTGGCATGAACAGCAATATGCAAATGAACGCTGGTTCCATGGATGGAAATAACATGAACTTAATGAACATGTCAGCTATGAATATGGGTGGTATGAACAATATGAACGTCGGCCCCATGGGTGGCTTTAATCAATCATTACCGGATCCTAGAGCAGGACCTACGCCAGGTTTATTGGGTATAGCGCCTAATATTCCACATAATTTTAATAACGCGAAATTTGGTGGGCCTAATAATTTTGGTAATATGCCGTTTAATGGACCAGGCTCTATGAATGATTTCAATTTCATGGAGGCAGAACAAAACTTTCCTAGATTTCCCAATCGGGGAGGACATCGGGGCCGCGGTAATGAGAGATGGAATCGTGGAGGTGGTGGAAGAGGTCATAGAGATCGGAAAAACTTTAACGATCGTGGTGGTAATTGGAAAAATGAGAGACACTAATTTGTATGTACATAAGTTTTTTTTGCAGTACACAACATAAGAAATAAATTTAAATTATTTTTATGAATTAACTAGCGTAGTGAATTAAGTAGTATATTGTCCTTCCACGTAAATTACGAAATGTGATCAAGGTGAAATTAGCAATTGATCCTATGGTACACTTTTTTTAATAATTTCAAATATTAGACTAAGAGGATTTCTGTATAATATATTGTAGTGTAAATATTTTTTCAAGTGGTAGTTAAATGTCAATATAAAAAGTAAAACTTAAGATTATAAATTATGTTTCGTGAAAATATTGGTTATTATGTTATGGAGTACTCATTAAGAGCCAAATGTTTTAAGACTGAAGGCAGACTTACGTTGGTTTTAAGTTTTTCCAGATATATAGTTGCAGATATTATAGCATAGTGTGAAAAAAATTTCAATATTTGCTACATGACTATAGAAAAGTTAGTGTATTAACAGCTCGTAATATTAATTAACCAAACTTACTTATATATCAAGTAGGTTTATCGATTTCATGGGGAAAGCAATATTACCTGCATAGGAAAGGAATTCACAAATTGTTATATACAAATGTACAGGTTTTGGTTAATTTTATAATAAGTAGTAGTAATGATGACAGCCTACTCATTTTAAAATAAATTTATGTTTATATACAAAATTATGTCTTGATTTTTGAACCTTTTATACGTAGATTCTACTAATTAGTGTTTTAAAATAATTCTTATACATAGTACTGACATATTTTTACTACAAATCTTAGTACTATGGTGTAAAGAGTAAAATATTTTGTGTTTTAGGTACCTACAGTAGTCTCGCAAACGATGAGTTTCGTATGACAAATGGTTAATGGAACTACGAATATTTATGAATGAATTTCAGCATTAATGTTTATAGGTTCACCCGATATGTTTAGGTAAGTATTGAGAACCTATGACAGGGTAAGCTAATTTTTAGGACAAACGAGAATAATAGAAAACAAACAATTAAGCATATCTATTTATTGCTTGTAAAACCGAAGTGATGTAATTTGAAAAATCTATTTTCAGTCGATTACCTCCGGATTTCAAATTGATTGCCACTTGAGATACTTTTGAAAATGTAGACGCTGAAAAGCAAAATAGTATGAAATTAATAACAATTGGAAAGTTTTAAAAACATTGTGAGTGTGGAACCTATGAACTAAAATGATTGTTAGAGAGTTCAAGGTTGTTAAAAAAACAAAATATGGCTTCTTATTAAAGCCTGTCTTGTTGCAAACATAACTCGTTAAGGCATTTATTTCGTACACTTGATTGGGCACACTAGCGCCAGAGCATGCTAGCTAGTGAATGAATCAGCAGTGTGAAGCGGCACAATTCCAATGTCAATCGGTCGTGATTGCGTTCGAGAGTAAAGGGGACAGGGCGCTTTAAAAACCAGGCCATTGTTTAAAAACTAGGATAAAAATCAGAACATGTTCTGGCACAGCAGGACATTTGGCAATTGGTTTATCCAGTTAACCATAGATTTAACATTAATCTATATAGTTCACATATAAAGATGATTTTTTTGAGACTATCATTGAATTTCGCGTGATTATATTCAAGTTTTCTTTGGACGCTATCTGATTACATGCTTAAACAATTCTATGATAAAGCCAACATGTTAGGTATAGTATGTCATATCTAACTAATCCATAAAAAGCGATTTTTTTATGTGGCACATTCATCTGATAACGATAACATATGTAATCACTCTGTAGAAAGCAAAAACACATATAAATAAGGCGTGACTTCCTAAACTGAAATCATGTGAGTATATTTGTATACTTACACAATGTCAATGATTCTATATCATCGCTATCATTAGTGCAGTTATAAAACAAAACGCATTGTTTTGCTGATAATTTTGGCTGAGACACGAAATAGTTGTAAAGAAGTTCGAGTTCTCTCGTTGCTACTTGGGTTGTTGTAGGGGAGCAGACCAATATCGCTCCTTGTACTCCTACGCGCAGTGCCGGCCAACAGGATTCAAATCTGAAATTATTATCTAAATATATAAATCAAACCTTACTTGAAATTTGGTACAGGGGTTCCTTTTGAATCCCTAAAGTAGCGCAAATTTTATGGAATTTCCTCATTTCTGGACTTAGAAGTATGAAATCTATATTATGCGGGCGAAGCAGATGGCGGAGGGCTAATATTCAATAAAATAATAGATGACGTTACTCTTCTAGTTGCTGGACAACTTATAGTATGGTGGATATCTATGCTAGTGTTAAAGCCGAATACACATTACGAAAATGAAAAAAATGAAGATTGTTTTTAGTTTCATGCGATGAAATTAAAAGACAAGCTTCACTTTTTTCAGAAACTAATTTCGGCAACTATTTCGTAATGATGTGTAATCAACAATATCTGTGAGACATTGTCAACATCGAAGCTTTACTATGCACAGATGGTGTCGCGACACTAGTTTCGCCATATAAATCGGGAGTGAAATTAGTTGCGGGAAAATAGTTTCATCAAAAATATAATAATACATTTATTTAATATCAAATATTATTTCTAATAGATACCATACCTAAAGAACTTTTTTTTTTTTAATATTAGGACCAACCCTGTTATTGTATTTTCTTAACCCTAACACAGATCCCCTAAAGTGGTAAAATTTGGTACAGACAGACAACAAAAAAGTTCCTATAATATAAAGATTCCTTTGTCTCCTTATTAGTTATGAAACCCAAAAAAAACCATTACCTAAGCAATTCCTCTTTATCAAGTATTTCAAGACAATTTATTGAAGTACAATACATACAAATGGAAAAAGCTTTAGTACTTAATATCTTCTTATTATTAACTAAATTTCCACGTACAAAATACAGAAAGCACAGTTTTAGTGCTTTTGATAAATTAGTAAATTTGAGTGCTTTTATTAATCTGCTATATAGTCGGATAAGTAGAAAAGTTAATTTCGTTTTATTCCAATGGATGGCGCTTTATATCTCTTATCTCGACTCGACAGAGTAGTTCGATTAATCTGACGATGTTTATTTTCAGAAGATTTTTTAAAATCGATTTAGTGGTTTCTGGGCCTTTTCAATGCAAACAATAAAAAAATCCCTCTTTAGAAAATTAGTTTATAAAGAGTGTACATCAAACAAGGCTAATTTTATTTGGTTTTGTATACGAAGAAAACGTCTAAATAAGCTGTGATTGAAAATAAGTACATTATGTTTTGCTTTTTAAAATCGATCCAGTAGTTTCAGAGACAGTCTAATGCAAACAAACAAACACACACATCTTTCCTCATTATAATATTAGAAGCTATAAATTATGTATATTATAGGTAAGGTACATCAATATCTATAATATTGATATTCATAATGGAAAATGCTTAGAAATCCATATTGTCCCTGGTGCTCAGAGTGCATTTTTCAATAAGAATATATTTCAGTATAGCATTTTGAATGCAAAATAGATCTAATTTATGTTGGTACGAAAAGTACGATATATTTGTTAAATATCAGTTTCACTTTATTTTATCTAGATCGATCAAAGATTATGAATAAATCATAGCTTACCTATGATCACCACTGCAATCCCACAGTTCGATGTCAATATTGGTATTTTTCCCGTTTACATTGATATTAGGTAGTTCAAATTCCACAATTCTAACGCCTTGCGTAGGACGCGGAGGACCTGCCTCCTCTATATTTATCGATTCTGATAAATAATTGGCTATAGTGGTTTTACCGCTCTGCAATATTAAATTTACTCCAAAATTCATAGTAAGAATTTAGGATATTGATACTTTTTTGTTGAGCCGTAATGATGAGAATGGGCGAAAATTCATTAACATAACAATCGAAGTTCATTTTAGTCAAATAGTGGACTTATCTATGGTCCAGTATAAAATTATGTTTACACCGAATAACTAAAACTATATGCAAGGCAATTCTGCTGAGCCGTTGTGATGAGAATGGGTGAAAATTCATTAACATAATAATCGAAGTTCATTGATTAGTCAAACGGTAGACTTATCCATGTTCCAGTATAAAATTATGTTTACACCGAATAACTAAAACTATACGCAAGGCAATTCTGCTAATGTTAGCGTTCTGCTAATGTTAACTAATTCAATAGCGGTTCAACTAGAATCCTTTATTATACAGTTCTTGTAATTAAATCACAAAATAATAAATATATCTGTCACCACTGATTTTTGAATAACATTTTACTTTAAGTAGCTCGGTGGCCTGTTAAGCTGTTGGATTTTAAGTCGTAAATTCCCTCCAATCCGTATTGGGCCAGCATGGAGCATCCTCCTTAACCATCCATAAAGATGGCCATCATTATGACTCGATTTCAGGAAGATAAGACAATAACAAAATTGAAGTAGTATTATTAAGTAAACAGCAGACAAGTCTAGCAGGTTTTAATTTTTGTACTTTCTCACCTCAGATGGACCAAGCATTAGAATTTTTAACTTGTTCATATGCATATTGATCACTTAAATCACAACACAGCTTTTTTCGTCTCCTAATTTAATCATTTAATCGTCGTTATTTCGATATAACATATCAAAAATAATGTAGCAGGTGACAAGACTTGTGAGAAAAATATTACAATATTTTGTTTACGTTTTCGTTGCCTAGGAAACGTGTTTGAGCTTTAAAAAAATATGAACTTGGTATTTCATTTGGAACAGCACAGTAGTTTGGCATATACCTAGTATTTACTCAATTAGTTTTACTATTTATTTGATAGTAAAAGTATGTATGATCAAATCAAATCAGAGAAGCATTTTTGAAAGTCGAAACTCTATGTCATCGGTCCGTAAATTTATTACGGGAGACCTTGTAGCGAGAAAAACTGCTCTGATTTATCAGCTTTACATCAAATCATTTGTTGCCCATATAACTCAGAAAGTTACACTTGGCAAATATTTTACAATAAGCATTTCAAATTAAATACAAAGGTCTAAATCATGCAGGTCAAATCAATGTCAAATAAATTGAGTATTTTAACAATGTCAAATTTGGTTATTTATACAATTCTTAATAATCAATTATATATATACATATACAGGTTTTTAACAAGAAATGGCTTAGATAATGAGCATTAAAGTCGATGAGGGCTCGCTTCGTCACAACTATGTAGAAAATGTACAATGGGGTGAAGTCATGTGAAATTTCAAATCAATGTATCACTGCAATTTATTGATTACGCAAAAATAAAAGATAGTTGTCTAATATTCTTTTATAATCGACCGTTGGCCAGACCAACAAAATTAGTCATTAAACGTATTGCTATTACGTTATCATTCCATGCAATAATGAAGATTCTGATCAATGGTAACAGCAAATTTCTACATATGTTTTAGAGAAATATATTTAACCTCGTTTGCTGGGAAGCCTGTTTGGCAAGACAAGTTGCAAGGACGACGTGCTATAGCAAAAACCTATACAAGGAAGATTGTAACGGGTGTACCCATGCTTAGATTTAACTGTATCTAACGACGTAGTTCTAATCATGGACCAATGGGCAAAAAACATTTCTACTTTCTCAATAATTAAGTACTACTCCTGTGCACTCCCGTTACCTGCGGCTGCACTTTTTATGTTACTGGTAGAATCATCACTGTCCACCTATTTGATCCCGGTGAGAAATTGTTTCGTCGAAAATAACAAAAATTGCTCAGTCCGATACAATCACTTTATTATTTGATCAAATACGTATTTATTTTAATTGATCAAAATTGAATGCAATCACAACGAGGAAGTATTAAAAAAAACATTAGTTCCTGAAATCAAACTAGATGTCGCTACAGTACGTTCTTGAATTCTCCATGACAACCCTTTCGGTTTCCTTTCATTTAAAATAAATTGGTTTTCAAAACTTAGTAAACAGCTCATATTCTATTTGTACTTTTTCGTATTTGTATTGATATCTAAGTTTCGAACTATTCAAATTTCAGTTTTTTAATATGCTAGTTAAAACGAACGGTCTAACTAACTGTCTTTGGTCCATTCGTTTCCTGCAAAAATCAATTTTTGCTAGAATCGCCATCTAGTGGAGGTGCTTTTTAGTGATTTCGTTTTTTTTAAATACTTCATTCTATACTGAAAAATATTCTTAACGAAAAATGCTTATAAAGGGACAAAGTGGATTTTGTTCATTCCTTCATCCAAAAGTTGTCTGGAACAGATCACTATATAGTGATAAGATCGCCGATTGTGACTCTTAAGTATTTATATTTTGATATCTCTGTATTTTTGGTGTATGCAATAAAGTGTTATCTATCTATGGGTCTCATAAGAAGGCTCAAAGGTCATCCAGTGGGCAATGGAGAGAACAATGCTTGGTATTTCTCTACGTGTTTGAATTATTAATGAGAAGATTCGTAAGAGAACTAACGTTTCTGACATTGCTTGAAGTGGTCGGGACACATAGCTGGATGAACCGATGGCCGCACAGGCAGACAGGTTCTGGAATCCACGCACCGTACGACGTTAAGCAGGTAGACCCGCCACCAGGTGGACTGATGACGGTCTTATGACGACTGATGATCTGGTAACGACATGGTTTCTATGAATGCCTTTAAATGTAGGACGATTCCGTAACAAGTTTATTTGAATAAACAATTGTTTTGATATTCACTTACAAATGCCACGAGAAGCCGCTGGATGCGCGCAAGACCGAGCGTTGTGGCGATCTATAGGGGAGGCCTATATTCAGCAGTGGGTGTCTTACGGCTGATGACGATGATGACCCATCTATCTGGCGAAAGTTACATTTTACATTTTTATCATTATTACAGTTATTGTAAAGGTAGCGGTTCTTGTAGAGATATGGGTTAATAATTGTATAAAGGTATTTTTATCGATAAATCTCGAAAAAAGAAAACGAAATTACCTACAGCACTCAAGGTACAAAATGCAACAAAAAGATAAACTAGACCTCCCTTTATATTCAAAAGGCTTGCTTTCATCTGTCATCATCAAACCTCGTCTTGTCTTGTCAAGGTTTCTTATTTTGCAACACAGCATGAGACATTAGCTATATGAAAAGTAAAGCTATAATAGATAGATTATCGTAAAGATGTTAAAAATGTTATAAATTAATGCACCGTTTTCTTTTGATGTTTGATGTAAAATTAATTTTGCGTTATTTATTATAAATAAAATATGAAACTGGGTGTTGTTTAGCGGTAACTCTCTTGTACACTTTTCTGGTCTCGTATTCTTTTTAAGATAATTCATTTCTATAATATATTCCTCTACATTTGGACAATTTCTTATCTTCATTGTCTAGTCATCGAGCCACCATTACGAAAATCGCTAACCACTTATCGTCGTTCGGTGAACCACTTGGGGTTTGCGTATCAGATTTTGACAAACCCTGCTCTATATAATTCCCAATCTGTGGTCCACGGAATAGGCAGGAGTCCGCGAGTAAGTACAAATGGTCTGCAGAGTTGAAGCACGGCAACGAATATGCATTAATGGAATTCTAACACAATAGTAACATCACCTCATACATCAATGAGAGCGTAAATTATCCTATTTCACGCTCCTATGATGTATATTCACGTAGTTGAAAGGATTTTCATAATCGGGTCAGTATTTCCAAATGTTACCCTACAAATAAACATGCAAAGATAGAAGGAAAGAAAAATTATTTTTGCTAAAACTTAGACTTCGAAAAATTTAGGGTCATTTTTTATTTTGTTTATATTGTGCTTTATTTCCTAGGGGCTAGTATACCAGAAAATGTTAAGCAACACTGGTCTATATTTAAATGTTTACAGTTAATCCCGGAAGCGTCGAAAGTAAATGCTGCATAAATCTTGACTGGTCTAAAACTGGACTTCTATTGCAGCTATCTGCATTAATCTCGACGTTGTCGCTTCTAGTTTAATGTTCGCTATTTTGTTACGTTCTTGTTCTATAAGTTGTTTATAAGCAGTGCCGTTCACTTTTACGACACTTTGTCTCAATAAAGAAAGTTCCATAATATTATGCTTGAGTAAAAATATTACAAATTTTAACATATTTTTTACGTTTTTTTAAGTCGTTATTGAATTTATTGGATTTAGTAAGAAAAAAATAAGTTTTAACATTACTACATATTATAATAACTGGAACGAGTTTTGAGTCTTAACGATTCAAATGTTCACCGGTTTAAGTTGAAGATTTCGATTTTATCAAACTTGTCTTTTATAAAAATAGAAACGATTTCAAATTTTAAAAATGTGATAAATAATACTTATCCCAAAATCAACAAAATCAACAAAGTTGGGTGGAAGTTTTCTGTAGGTTATAATTAAATGATAGGCACCCGATTTTAATATTTCTTGAATAAGCCGCTTTAGGAATAAGTATTATTTATCACATTTTTAAGGTTTGAAGTCGGTTTAAAAACATAAAACAGTAAACATACTATTTAAAAAAAATGAAACTTTAACTATGCATAGTTTTATTGAAGTGCGCAGAAATAACATAGCCCTCAGACTCGGCATCAATAGAATAGTTCTTTGTTCTATTTATGTAATTTTGAAACAATAAACATTCACTAGTTCAGGTATCGGCTATTCAAAAGCTTTTACGGGCATGTACCCATCTTTGTGCCATTCAATAGCAAAAGCTTTGGATAAATTAAATTCTGCCGTGAGCACGCGAAGCGTGTTAGATCGCCTGATGAGTCTACATTTCACTGGAGAACATACCACGTGCAAAATATACTCTAAAACAAAGGATAGGCTATTAACTCACTATACGCGTGTATACAGAGGAATTGATTATAACACTGGTAGTTCCTACCACGTTCAAATTCTTATTTGTTTCTTAAAAATATTTGCTAAGCTGAGAATAGTTCTTACTTCATTCAAATTTTTGTTCATTTAGTAAAAATATGTGCTTACCATATGGCATTTTCTAGAAAATAGTTGTTTTAGGCATTTTACAAGACAGCGAAATGAATTTATCTTGTACTTTAAAATTTTTAATGTACATACATAATGAATATACCTTCAACTGAAGGCTAGAACAACGTAGCTATAAGTAATTATTATTTAGTTAAAGAGTCTTTTTTCGACTTAACAAAAAGTTTTATTGTGATTATATGACATGATACATCACTGACTTTTGTATAACTAACAACTCAACCCACTTTATTATGTGATCAAAATTCATTACCATGTTTAAAGATCACTTATGGTCCGAAATATTGAACAAGACAAAAAAAAGCAGAAAATATCCTAGAAGGTCTAACTTAAGCGCTTTTTCTCATGGGACATTAAAGGGTGATTTGTAAAACAAAAACAGTGTCATGAAATATTAGGCTGATAATCAATTTTCTGAGTGAGAATACGAGATGAAATGATCTCTTTTTTGAGGTATAAATTTGTATATTTTCGGTGGTGTATAGGTATCTTAATAAGGCTCGCTCGTTCAGAGGCGTCAACTTCTATTTCACTTACCACAATCCGCCCACTCTCGCTAGCGTGCATTGTACTTGCATTACAAG